TATGAAAAAAAAAAAATAAAGGAAGGGGTGACTGTAAAGGCCCAGCCGGAAGAGTTTTGTGATGTTTTTGTTCATTTTTGTACTTCGGAAAGGTTTTTTGAGGCTGTTTGGGCACACAAAATCTTTTCTCGAGGCAAGCCGAGGTAGCCGACGTCTATGCACCTTCCTCGATGATTGATTGGTCAATAGTAGGAATTGTTCAATAAAGTCTTTGTTGTCATTCGATGAAAGATTACTCGTTTTCGTGGACATTTTGTTCATTGAAAAATACTGCACCAAACATCTTAGTTAGATGTAAAATTGCGGTCAAAATGTTGACGTCAAAAACGTCAAAATTAATGATAGATTTCTTGAGTTAGACTACATGGCCAAAGGTATGTGGACACCCCTTCAAATTAGTGAATTCGGCTATTTCAGCCACACCCGTTGCTGACAGGTGTATAAAATCGAGCATATAGCCATGCAATCTCCATAGACAAACATTGGCAGTAGAATGGCCTTACTGAAGAGCTCAGTGACTTTCAACGTGGCACCGTCAAGTCAGTTCGTCAAATTTCTGCCCTGCTAGAGCTGCCCCGGTCAACTGTAAGAGCTGTTATTGTGAAGTGGAAACGTCTAGGAGCAACAACAGCTCAGCCTCGAAGTGGTAGGCCACACAAGCTCACAGAACGGGACCACCGAGTGCTGAAGCACGTAGCGCGTCTGTCCTCGGTTGCAACACTCACTACCAAGTTCCAAACTGCCTCTGGAAGCTTCATGAAATGGGTTTCCATGGCCGAGTAGCAGCCACACACAAGCCTAAGATCACCATGCACAATGCCAAGCGTCGGCTGGAGTGGTGTAAAGCTTGCTGTAATTGGACTCTGGAGCAGTGGAAACACATTCTCTGGAGTGATGAGTCACCCTTCACCATCTGGCAATCCGGACAAATCTGGGTTTAACGGACGCCAGGAGAACGCTACCATAGTGCCAACTGTAAAGTTTGGTGGAGGAGGAATAATGTTCTGGGGCTGTTTTTCATGATTCAGGCTCCTTAGTTCCAGTGAAGGGAAATCTTAACGCTACAACATACAATTACATTCTAGACGATTCTGTACTTCTAACTTTGTGGCAACAGTTTGGGGAAGGCCCTTTCCTGTTTCAGCATGACAATGCCCCCGTGTTACAAAGCAAGGTCCATACAGAAATGGTTTGTCAAGATCAGTGTGGAAGAACTTGACTGGCCTGCACAGAGCCCTGACCTCAACCCCATTGAACACCTTTGGGATGAATTGGAATGCCGACTGTGAGCCAGGCCTAATCTCCCAACATCAGTGCCCGACTTCACAAATGCTCTCGTGGCTGAATGGAAGCAAGTCCCCGCAGCAATGTTCCAACATCTAGTGGAAAGCCTTCCCAGAAGAGTGGAGGATGTTATAGCAGCAAAGGGGGGACCAACTCCATATTAATGCCCATGATTTTGGAATGAGATGTTTGACGAGCAGATGTCCACATACATTAATTCTGACTTTTGAGGAAGTATATACTGGCTACAGCGTCTCAAAATGGACAAACAGTACTTTTGCCGCTTTTATAATTTTTTATTTTTTGAAGCCAAGGTCTTTTAAGGGAGTGTGCGAGGCACAATCGTTTGTTTCGAACTCGGCGAGGCGCTAGCCGAACTGAAGCACGCTGACGCCTTATGTCGCTTTGGATAAAAGCGTCTGCTAAATGGCTTTTTAAAATATTTTTTTGGGGGGATGGTCCATAGTTAGTCTGTCACAAGAGACTAACCAAAGTCTAGTTGTGTTAACATTGTCCCATTCTGTCAGGGAATGGGACCTTATATTACACACACAGTTCATCACGTTGTCAGTTGATTCTTTTACATTTTCATAACACAACATTCTAGAACAATTTGTCTGTATTCTAAACGAGTGAGAAGTCCTTCTATGATACTTAGAACTGAAAGGAGCTTATTTCTACAAAGGAATGAGTCTGTGCTTCAATTTCAATGTAGGGCTATTCACAGTCCCCCTAGTCTGAATACATTACCATAAATGGTAGCGTACTAGATAAAATCCTTACTGAAAACAAGTGCTTCAAGTTTGCTAAACGTCTGCTGTCTGAGCTAATAAGGAATAATATACCAGTTTTAAACTGCCTTTCTGATGTATTGTTGTTTGGCAGATGGGCATGTCTGCTGAATGCCTGGAGGCTGCTTCTAGTTACATAACTCGTGTCTCTTTCTGTCTCTCTCTGTCTCTCTCTTTCTCTCTGTCTCTCTCTGTCTCTCTCTCTCTCTCTCTCCCTTCACTGAAGGAGTTCCTGGCAGGGATGCAGTCAGCTCCTCAAACACACTCGGCTCCCACAGACAGTCAGACAGTCAGACAGTCAGACAGTCAGACAGTCAGACAGTCAGACAGACAGGCACCCTTCAGGCAGGCAGGCAGGCAGGCAGGCAGGCAGGCAGGCAGGCAGGCAGGCAGGCAGGCAGGCAGGCAGGCAGGCAGGTAGGTAGGCAGGCAGGCAGGCAGACAGACAGACAGACAGACAGACAGACAGACAGGCAGACAGGCACCCACCCTCCCTTCAGGCACCCACCCACCCACCCACCCTCCCTTCAGGCACCCACCCACCCACCCTTCAGGCAGTATGATCATGTAAAACCCAAACTATGATCTCATGTCCAGTCTGATTTTACATGTATCTTTTTTGTAATAAGCTGAAATGAAATAGTTAAATAAAAAAAGTGTACATTTGACACTGCTAATATTATTGGAATGTGTGGGAAGGAAAACACTGGGTGTTTATGTAATGTGTATGGTGCTGGAGGTTTTAGTGTCTGAGTCTCTGTCTGCATCTCTCCTCAGGTATAACGTGGGGGAAGGTGGTGTCCCTGTACGCAGTGGCAGGTGCCCTTGCGGTGGACTGCGTGCGCCATGGTCACCCAGCCATGGTCCACACCATCGTAGACTGCATGGGGGAGTTTGTCCGCAAGAGCCTGGTCTCCTGGTTGAAAAGGAGAGGAGGATGGGTAAGAGGACCACCATAGAAATACAATCTATAGAACGTTAGAGGTTCCATGCCCTTATTATTGATAATATTTCTATGCTCACCACGCCATAGTTTCACCCATAGACATACAATTACTAGAATGGGAGAAAACACTTCAGACAACCGCAATTTGACAGTACATATATGGGTAGACTCAGCAGTCTTATGGCTTCGGGGTCGAAGCTGTTTTAGGAGCCTTTTGGTCCCAGACTTTGTGCTCTTGTACCACTTGCCATGCGGTAGCAGACGGAACAGTCTATGACTGCTCGGCTTTCTTCTGACACCGCCTGGTATAGAGGTCCTGGATGGCAGGGAGTTCGGCCCCAGTGATGTACTGGGCTGTACGCACTACCCTCTGTAGCACCTTGTGGTTGGATGCTGAGCAGTTGCCATACCAAGCGGTGATGCAGCCAGTCAAAATGCTCTCAATGGTGCAGCTGTATAACTTTCTGAGGGCCCATGCCAAATCTTTTCAGCCTCCTGGGGGGGAAGAGGCGTCGTAAAGTGAAGACACTTGCCAGAATGGTCAGCGCATGCTCTGAGTACGTGTCACATCGGCTACGGAGAGCGTGATCACACAGTCGTCTGGAACAGCTGGTGCTCTCATACATGGTTCAGTGTTTCTTGCCTTGAAATGAGCATAGAAGGCATTTAGCTCATCTGATAGACTTGAGTCATTGGGCAGCTCGCGGCTGGGTTTTCATTTGTAATCCGTGATAGTTTGCAAGCCCTGCCACATGACGAGCGTCAGAACCGGTGTAGTAGGATTTCGATCTTAGTCCTGTATTGACGCTTTGCCTGTTTCTCAGTGGACCCTAATAGCGTTTGAATAGATGCATAGATGTTACATTTAGACAAAGATTTTAAAATGGGCTATCTGATTGAGAACATGCGTTGCACAAACAACATGCTGATATACATCACCACTATGTAGCAACCTGTATTAGCGCTAACATTTGCTTTGCCCTAGCTAGTGCGTTTTAGCTAAAGGGCATTTAGCTAGCCAGGCATGCTAGTTAGCAATTAGCATTAGCAATTAGCATTAGGCACATGCCAGCTTCCTTAGACTAACTAACTCTCGTTTTGCAAAAAAGCAAGATACACAAATGAATATTATAAAAGAGAAAACGTGGATTCATATTTAGAAGCAACTTGGAAAGCAGCGTTGTTGTTTTAGAATAATCTGTTGAGTGCAAGCTGAGAGAAACAGGCACCGCGTGTAGGAACTGAGTGTGCTGCCTGCCTGTTGAGTGACAGAGGGGCGGGGCTTCAGCCTTAGTCTAAAGTTTGAGCAGTTTAGAAAAGAGTGTTGGGGCGAAATATTGTTATGCATTGAATTTTTGATTGGATGTTTTTTTTTTTTTTGGTCGCACGGTGCTCCCAAAATAAAACTCCAAGTCGCACACCAAAATATATGGTCGCACTTTAGAGCCTTGCCTGTGGTTCAAGTGATTGACTGAGTCTGTGCACCACCCACGTTTGTTTAGGATAGGCTATGTAATGATGATGGATATAGGCTATGTAATGATGATGGATATAGGCTATGTAATGATGATGGATATAGGCTATGTGTTGATGATGGATATAGGTTATGTAATGATGGATATAGGTTGTGTTGATGATGGATATAGACTGTGTTGATGATGGATATAGGCTATGTAATGATGATGGATATAGGTTATGTGTTGATGATGGATAAAGTCCATGTGTTGATGATGGATATAGGTTATGTGTTGATGATGGATATAGGTTATGTGTTGATGGATATAGGCTATGTGTTGATGATGGATATAGGCTATGTGTGATGATGGATATAGGTTATGTTGATGATGGATATAGATTATGTGTTGATGATGGATATAGGTATGTGTTGATGATGGATATAGGCTAGTGTGATGATGGAATAGTAGTGTGATGATGGATATAGGCTATGTGTTGATGATGGATATAGGTATGTGTTGATGATGGATATAGGCTATGTGTTGATGATGGATATAGGCTATGTGTTGATGATGGATATAGGCTATGTGTTGATGATGGATATAGGCTATGTGTTGATGATGGATATAGGCTATGTGTTGATGATGGATATAGGTTATGTGTTGATGATGGATATAGGCTATGTGTTGATGATGGATATAGGTTATGTGTTGATGATGGATATAGGTTATGTGTTGATGATGGATATAGTGGTTATGTGGATATAGATGTAGATGGATATAGGCTATGTGTTGATGATGGATATAGGCTATGTGTTGATGATGGATATAGGTTTATGGCTGATAGGCTTGTTGATGATGGATATAGGTGTGTGATTTGATGATGGATGCATAGGTTATGTGTTGATGATGGATATAGGTTATGTGTTGATGCTTGGATATAGGCTAGTGTTGATGTTGGGTTAGAGGATATAATTTGTGTTGATGATGGATAAGGCAATGTGTTGATGATGGATATAGGCTATGTGTTGATGATGGATATAGGCTATGTGTTGATGATGGATATAGGTTATGTGTTGATGATGGATATAGGCTATGTGTTGATGATGGATATAGGTTATGTGTTGATGATGGATATAGGCTATGTGTTGATGATGGATATAGGCTATGTGTTGATGATGGATATGTATTATTTTATCACAGAATTGTACATACACGATTGATTTCCTAGAGGACAGACTCAGTACTCACACTTACAGTAAGCCTGTGTCTGCACATGCCTGTAAGTGTTTCCCTATGTTAGACATATTTGAATTCAGACTGCCTGCAGGACTTAGGTTATAGGTCACGGTCCTCCATACCCACCTATCAGGTCTGTCCTGAACATGTCCCTCAAGGTGTCCACGGAGAGAATAGCTCAATAAAACTGAGGCAAGCAAGACCCTGAACACAACACAATCATGAATGTGCAAAACAAAACTCCCTGTCCTTTACATGGTAGAAGGGCAGGGGGTTTTGCACATTGACTTTGACTAACTCAAGACGCTCTCCTCAAAGCATGAGGTGTCTGTAACGGCTATTTCTAAAAGCCAGCATCCAGAAATTGAGTTGAATTCAGCCATTACTTTAAGAAACTCCCAAGAAACGTCTCAAAATATATATATATATATATATATATATATATATATATAGTCTTGCTCTAGAGGACTTCTGATTAAAATCCGCAGAGAGCAAAGCGTGGCGCTCAACTGGTACTCAGAGCTGAGAGGAGGCCTGGCAAGGAGCCTCGGCCTAAATCTGTGAGTTCTGCTCTGTTGGCAAAGCTTAAAAGTCAACCAAGAATCCCTCTAAAGCAGTGCTGAGTCCCAAATGTCACCCGATCTCCCTATGTAGTGCACTGCTTTCGACCAGGACCCATAGGGTACCATTTGGGACACAAGCCTTGGAATGGCCCGTTGGAAGTTGACCACGCCAGATAATTAAGTGGACTGAAGTTTGATGCTGATATATACCACAACATTTAGAATGAAATGGCTGCAGATAGATAGAACTGTCTGTTGATGTAGCCTCCCACTGGGCGCAGACGTCAGTTCAATGTCTAGTTTTGATTTTACATTTGGTTGAGATGTCATCTAACGTGGAAAAAAAAAAAAAAAAAAAACATTTCACCATGTCATTGGATTGAGGTAAAAAGTTAGGTGGGAGAAAAAAAAATAAGAAATTCCCATTACGTTGATGACTTTTTGCAAATCCAATCAGTTATCCACATTGATTCAACGTCATCACATTGAACTTTTTTTTATTGAAATGACGTGGAAACTACGTTGATGCAACCAGTCTTGATGACTCATTGTTTTCTCTCCTTATTGTACTGTTTTACTGCCGTTCAAAAACGTTGACTTTGTTTCAAGTGGTTATGTTGAAATATGTCTTTAAGGTTACAGTTTTGGGTTTGGCTGAGACGTTGCTTAGTAACTCGCCGCATTTCAATGTGGTCAAAGTATACATTTTTATTTATAAAATTTTTTTATGAACATTTTAACCTGACCTCTAGTCTAGATAATATCTTTGTTGAAAGAACAACATCTCTCAAACACATTTTGTAATGTAATCTAGTCCGATTTAATGCATGTAATTTATCAGGCGTTCATTGGTTACTGACTAACTGTGTAAGGGTCCCTCCCTATTTAAAGGAAATTGACTGGTATATAGAGAATCCCCCACTGCCTTTTGAAACTTTGACTTGTGAAATGCTAAGTGCCCAGCCTCTGCTCAAAGGTCAAAGTCTCTGTCTTGGCTCTCCACCCTTCTCCCCTTAACAGTATTGATTGCTGTAATCAGTGGATGTAGGAGTGCCAACCATTGTTAAATCCATGATGGGAAATGTGGGGACCGGATACAAGAATTGAGACTTAGCCCATGTACACTATATATACAAATTACATAATATTTACAGCAGTATGTGGACACCCTTTCAAATTAGTGGATTTGGCAATTTCAGCCACACCCGTTGCTGACAGGTCTATAAAATCGAGCACACAGCCATCATAGGATGCCACCTTTCCAACAAGTCAGTCCGTCAAATGTCTGCCTTGCTAGAGCTGCCCTGGTCAACTGTAAGTGCTGTTATTGTGAAGTGGAAAAGTCTACGAGCAACAACGGCTCAGCCGCGAAGTGGTATGCCACACAAGTTCACGGAACGGGACTGACGAGTGCTGAAGCAAGTAGAGCGTAAAAATTGTCTGTCCTCTGATGCAACGCTCACTATCGAGTTCCAAACTGCCTCTGGAAGCAACATCAGCACAAGAACTGTTTGTCGGGAGCTTCATGAAATGGGTTTCCATGCCCGAGCGGCCGCACACAAGCCTAAGATCACCATGCGCAATGCCAAGCGTCGGCTGGATTGGTGTAAAGCTCGCCGCCATTGGACTCTGGAGCAGTGGAAACGCGTTCTCTGGAGTGATGAATCACGCTTCATCTGGTAGTCCGACGGACAAATCTGGGTTTGGCGGATGCCAGGAGAACGCTTCCTACCCCAATGCCATGTGCCAACTGTAAAGTTTGGTGGAGGAGGAATAATGGTCTGGGGCTGTTTTTCATGGTTCGGGTTAGGCCCCTTAGGTCCAGTGAAGGGAAATCTTAACGCCACAACATACAATGACATTCTAGACGATTCTGTGCTTCCAACTTTGTGGCAACAGTTTGGGGAAGGCCCTTTCCTGTTTCAGCATGACAATGCCCCCGTGCACAAAGCAAGGTCCATACAGAAATGGTTTGTAGAGACCAGTGTGGAAGAACTTGACTGGCCTGCACAGAGCCCTGACCTCAACCCCATCGAACACCTTTGGGATGAATTGGAACGCTGACTGTGAGCCAGGCCTAATCTCCCAACATCAGTGCCCGACCTCACTAATGCTCTCGTGGCTGAATGGAAGCAAGTCCCCGCAGCAATCCTCCAACGTCTAGTGGAAAAGCCTTCCCAGAAGGGTGGAGGCTGTTATAGCAGCAAAGGGGGGGACCAACTCCATATTAATGCCCATGATTTTGGAATGAGATGTTTGACGAACAGGTGTTCACATACCTTTGGTCATGTAGTGTATGTTTCAATAATGTTGGCTGAGGGTCTCTTATTCTCTTCTCTCATAGGCTGAGTGCTGCTGTCATCTCTCTTCTCTCATAGACTGAGTGCTGTCATCTCTCTTCTCTCATAGGCTGAGTGCTGTCATCTCTCTTCTCTCATAGGCTGAGCGCTGTCATCTCTCTTCTCTCACAGGCTGAGTGTTGTCATCTGTCTTCTCTCATAGGCTGATATCACGAAGTGCGTGGTGAACACAGACCCCAGTTTCCGCTCCCATTGGTTGATGTCTGCTGCCTGTGCCTGTGGACATTACCTGAAGGCCATGGTGTTCTACCTGCTCCGGGATAAGTGACCACGGAGGAGGAGGGTCACGCACACGCAACGGGCAGCCAGCCCCATCTACCAGCGGAGTACAGGACAAGCTTACCTGGTCCCAGATCTGGTCGTGCTCTTGGACAACTCCATTGCTGTCATTGTCAAGCCAAACATGTTTGTCATGACAACGAGTGACAAGGAGTTGCACAAACAGACTCGTACTCTGGGCCAGTCTCTCTCTCTCTCTCTCTCTGTGTCTCTGTCTCTGTCTCTGTCTCTGTCTCTGTCTCTGTCTCGCTCTCTGAGCTGCAGCCATCACTGCTCTAGTGTCTAGATATGTTGTTGTTGTTGTTGTTTACACCTGCAGAAGTTTGCACTGAAGCTCCGCCACTGCCTCTGATGAGCACCTTGGGCCTTCACAAACAAACGCACCGGCCTGGAGCGTCGATGTGAATTAGCCTGCAAGCCTCGTCTGCTTTGAACAAACTTTAGGGTATTTATTATCTAGCTTGACAGTAATATTGTGACGTACAGTACATATCCTCCAGCTGGATTGTGAGGTAGTGGTCTAGTCATATATAGATCCATAGAAGTATAGAATAGAATGCCACCCGTCAACCATTGACTTGAATGCGAATGTCCATTCTACTCATTATTTTTCTGTGTTTTGGATCTGTTTTTCTTCAGGTACCTCAGAGAGAGACACATTCCTTGCTTGCTTTATGCTTGAATTACTCCTGGGCAAATATCCCATTCAAAGCAATGGAAGATTTGTATACGTTTCAGTTTCAGTTCAGCACGTAATGTATGTCAAGCAAAGGGGATATGGCCCAGACAGTGTGCCTATAAATAAACCCGTATTTTCATCCAGGGGTCATACTCTCCCTGATGGCTGTAAATAAGAATGAGGCGAACACCTGAGATGACGCTGTGAGATGACTATTGAAAAGGAAAATGGACTTCACTAAGTGAAATAATTCGGAATTCCTCTGTTTGGATAGATATATTGTTTAGATTATATGGTTTGCATGCTCCGATGCTCCATGTATGTGATGAGTGTGTGACTTAAACACAAAATCTGGGTGAATAAATATGGAGGGGGGGGGACTGTTTTTGTAGAATATTGTGCAATTATGGATCACTATTACCTGAAACTTAAATCCCATTCAGACATTTTGTCTGTTTTTATTCTATAAATTATTTGTATTCTGTGAATAACTACACAGTAGTTTACACATGCACTACATTTGGCATGCAGCACTGTGTCTTCAGAAATAAAATGTTTAAAAATTTCAACATTGTTTTATCTTATTTATTAACGTCAGCATTATACATTGAAAAGGGATACCAATTTAGCTTAGCCTACTAACAAGTGAATGGTCCAAATACCCGAAGTCTGCCACATGCAGTCATGAAAAGCCTATGTATCTTTCGTTGTTTACTGCCACCTACTGTCCAATACAAGCATAACACCAAACGTTTGTCCACGTTGCAATATTAAGAGAACCTTTCATTCGGATCAATTTGAGCTAACTGAAGGATACAGATTAAATATTTGTATGGTAGAAAAAGAGCTTGAAAGTGAAGGTAGTGAAGAGGCTTTTTATCTTCCCCCGAGATATAAATAACCGTGTTCAAATTTAATATAAGCCATTTAGCAGACGTTTTTATCCAAAGCGACTCAGTCCTGCATGCATACATTTTACGTATAGCTGGCCATAACGGGAATCGAACCCACAACCCTTTGCGTTGCAAGCGACATGCACTACCGACTGAGCCATACAGGACCACAAATAATATAAAATTGTACCGGTCACTTGTGTCGTAAACAACCGGTATATACTAACAGTGGAACGCTTACTTTTCCAACAATGCAGAGAGAAAAAATCGAAAAATAATGGATTAGATTATAGAGTTTAATAGTCACATGTACAGGGTTGCAGATGTAATTACAGGGGACAGTGAAATTATTGCGCTCCGAACTCCAACAAGGCAGGACAAAGTGAAATAAAACAATACAAATAGATAATAATACAAATTGAAATAATAATATATACATATTAACAACATAACACGAGGAATAAATACACATTGAGTAAGGAAAACGTGGATGTATACACGGGGTACCATTACAGAGTTGATGTGCAAGAGGGACGAGGTAATTGAGGTAGATATACGAAATTGCCAAAAGTATGTGGACACCTGCTCATCGAACATCTCATTCCAAAATCTTGTCCATTATTATGGAGTTGGTCCCCCTTTGCTGCTATAACATCCTCCACTCTTCTGGGAAGGCTTTCCACTAGATGTTGGAACATTGCTGCGGGGACTTGCTTCCATTCAGCCACAAGAGCATTAGTGAGGTCGGGCACTGATGTTGGGCGAGTAGGCATGGCTCGCAGTCGGCGTTCCAATTCATCCCAAAGATGTTTGATTAGGTTGAGGTCAGGGCTCTGTGCAGGCCAGTCAAGTTTTTCAACACCGATCTCGACAAAACATTTCTGTATGAACTTCGCTTTGTGCAAGGGGGCATTATCATGCTGAAACAAGAAAGGGCCTTCCCCAAACTGTTGCACCAAAGTTGGAAGCATAGAATCGTCTAGAATGTAATTGTATGCTGTAGCGTTAAGATTTCCCTTCACTGGAACTAAGGGGCCTAGCCCGAACCATGAAAAACAGCCCCAAGTTTAAATAGCTGGCTAGACTAACTTCCCAATCTATATAAGTTTTTGCTGACATGGCTAATTGAGTGCCTGTCAGTGACTGACATAACAAGACAAAATTTGCTGATGCACAACCGAATGTCGAACTTGCACCTCGTGTTTTCTACTACTCTAACTCTCAACAGGAAGTTGCGACGCCGACTGACACCAACCAAATCGCGTTTAGGGCTAGAGCCGGACCTGAATGTAAGAATTGGAATAAAATCGATCAGAGGTCATTCGAGTTGCCTCCTCATTAATTCTCCTGCCCCCTAAAAAAAAAAACTATTTGAAAATGTAGATTTTCAGCCCGTGCCTGATATTCTAAGAATTAATTTGTGTTGGGCCGGCCCTGGCTTGTGGTTTGCACAACATTATATCCTAATGTTTGAGACCACAGGTGGACATTGCTGTTGTGGCACACCTGTATCTCTCTCAGAACTAGAATGAGATTTACTTTCTATTACAGTGCCTTGCAAAAGTATTCATCCCCCTTGGTGTTTTTCCTATTTTGTTGCATTACAACCTGTAATTTAAATTGATTTTTATTTGGATTTCATGTAATGGACATACACAAAATAGCCCAAATTGGTGAAGTGAAATGAAAAAAAAATAACTTGTTTCAAAAAATTATACAAAATAAATAACGGAAAAGGGGTGCGTGCATATGTTTTCACCCCCTTTGCTATGAATCCCCTAAATAAGATCTGGTGCAACCAATTACCTTCAGAAGTCACATAATTAGTTAAATAAAGATTGAGATGTAGTTGTCCCTGATTGCACTGACTTTGCTCACAGCTGCTTGTTTGAAGAAGTGTACTTACTGTGATCAAGATGTGGTTGTCCCACTGGCTATCCTAAGTTGAATGCACCAATTTGTAAGTCGCTCTGGATAAGAGCGTCTGCTAAATGACTTAAATGTTAAATGTAAAATAAAGTCCACCTTTGTGCACTCTTCGTGTCACATGATCTGTCACATGATCTCAGTGTATATATACACCTGTTCTGAAAGGCCCCAGAGTCTGCAACACCACTAAGCAAGGGGCACCACCAAGCAAGCGGCACCATGAAGACCAAGGAGCTCTCCAAACAGGTCAGGGACAAAGTTGTGGAGAAGTACAGATCAGGGTTGGGTTATGAAAAAATATCTGAAACTTTGAACATCACACAGAGCACTATTAAATCCAGTATTTAAAAAATTGAAAGAATATGGCACCACAACAGACCTGCCAAGAGAGGGCCGCCCGCCAAAACTCACGGACCAGGCAAGGAGGGCATTAATCAGAGAGGCAACAAAGAGACCAAAGATAACCCTGAAGGAGCTTCAAGGGCCACAGCGGAGATTGGAGTATCTGTCCATAGGACCACTTTAAGCTGTACACTCCACAGTGCTGGGCTTTACGGAAGAGTGGCCAGAAAAAAGCCATTGCTTCAAGAAAAAAAAAAAGCAAACACGTTTGGTGTTCACCAAAAGGCATGTGGGAGACTCCCCAAACATATGGAAGAAGGTACTCTGGTCAGATGAGACTAAAATTGAGCTTTTTGGCCATCAAGGAAAACGCTATGTCTGGCGGAAACCCAACACCTCTCATCACCCCGAGAACACCATCACCACAGTGAAGCATGGTGGTGGCAGCATCATGCTGTGGGGATGTTTTTAATCGGCAGGGACTGGGAAACTGGTCAGAATTGAAGGAATGACGGATGGCGCTAAATACAGGGAAATTCTTGAGGGAAACCTGTTTGTCTTCCAGAGATTTGAGACTGGGACGTAGGTTCACCTTCCAGCAGGACAAGGACCCTAAGCATGAATAGTTATGCACGCTCAAGTTGTCAGGTTTTTTTGTGTTATTTCTTGTTTGTTTCACAAAAAAATATATTTTGCATCTTCAAAGTGGTAGGCATGTTGTGTAAATCAAATGATACAAACCCCCAAAAAATCTATTTTAATTCCCAAGGGGGGTGAATACTTTCGCAAGCTACTGTATCTTGCACTACTCATCTCATATGTATATACTGTATTCTATAATATTCTACTGTATCTTAGTCCATGCCGCTCTGTCATTACATATCCATATACAGTGGGGAGAACAAGTATTTGATACACTGCCGATTTTGCAGGTTTTCCTACTTACAAAGCATGTAGAGGTCTGTAATTTTGATCATAGGTACACTTCAACTGTGAGAGACGGAATCTAAAACAAAAATCCAGAAAATCACATTGTATGATTTTTAAGTAATTAATTTGCATTTTATTGCATGACATAAGTATTTGATACATCAGAAAAGCAGAACTTAATATTTGGTACAGAAACCTTTGTTTGCAATTACAGAGATCATACGTTTCCTGTAGGTCTTGACCAGGTTTGCACACACTGCAGCAGGGATTTTGGCCCACTCCTTCATACAGACCTTCTCCAGATCCTTCAGGTTTCGGGGCTGTCGCTGGGCAATACGGACTTTCAGCTCCCTCCAAAGATTTTCTATTGGGTTCAGGTCTGGAGACTGGCTAGGCCACTCCAGGACCTTGAGATGCTTCTTACGGAGCCACTCCTTAGTTGCCCTGGCTGTGTGTTTCTGGTCATTGTCATGCTGGAAGACCCAGCCACGACCCATCTTCAATGCTCTTACTGAGGGAAGGAGGTTGTTGTCCAAGATCTCGCGATACATGGCCCCATCCATCCTCCCCTCAATACGGTGCAGTCGTCCTGTCCCCTTTGCAGAAAAGCATCCCCAAAGAATGATGTTTCCACCTCCATGCTTCACGGTTGGGATGGTGTTCTTGGGGTTGTACTCATCCTTCTTCTTCCTCCAAACATGGCGAGTGGAGTTTAGACCTAAAAGCTATATTTTTGTCTCATCAGACCACATGACCTTCTCCCATTCCTCCTCTGGATCATCCAGATGGTCATTGGCAAACTTCAGACGGGCCTGGACATGCGCTGGCTTGAGCAGGGGGACCTTGCGTGCGCTGCAGGATTTTAATCCATGACGGCGTAGTGTGTTACTAATGGTTTTCTTTGAGACTGTGGTCCCAGCTCTCTTCAGGTCATTGACCAGGTCCTGCCGTGTAGTTCTGGGCTGATCCCTCACCTTCCTCATGATCATTGATGCCCCACGAGGTGAGATCTTGCATGGAGCCCCAGACCGAGGGTGATTGACCGTCATCTTGAACTTCTTCCATTTTCTAATAATTGCGGCAACAGTTGTTGCCTTCTCACCAAGCTGCTTGCCTATTGTCCTGTAGCCCATCCCAGCATTGTGCAGGTCTACAATTTTATCCCTGATGTCCTTACACAGCTCTCTGGTCTTGGCCATTGTGGAGAGGTTGGAGTCTGTTTGGTTGAGTTTGTGGACAGGTGTCTTTTATACAGGTAACGAGTTCAAACAGGTGCAGTTAATACAGGTAATGAGTGGAGAGCAGAAGGGCTTCTTAAAGAAAAACTAACAGGGCTGTGAGAGCCGGAATTCTTACTGGTTGGTAGGTGATCAAATACTTATGTCATGCAATAAAATGCAAATTAATTACTTAAAAATCATACAATGTGATTTTCTGGATTTTTGTTTTAGATTCCGTCTCTCACAATTGATGTGTACCTATGATAAAAATTACAGACCTCTACATGCTTTGTAAGTAAGAAAACCTGCAAAATCGGCAGTGTATCAAATACTTGTTCTCCCCACTGTATGTATATATTCTTAAATCCCATTCCTTACTAGTTTTGTGTGTATTGGGTATATGCTGTGAAATTGTTAGATATTACTTGTTAGATATTACTGCACTGTCGGAGCTAGAAGCACAAGCATTTCGCTACACCCGCAATAACATCTGCTAAACACGTGTATGTGACAAATAAAATTTGATTTGATTTGAAATAGCTCCTGCTTAAAATTGAAGACTAATCTTTCTGTAGGCTACCAAAATATTTGATCAACTTCCAAATAGGCCTATTGAGCGAATATTGTTTTACAAAGTAAAACGAGAGATAGACTTTTGGAACTAGAGGGTCGGCCATTGCCGGCGAGTGAGCAGCGCATCATTGGGTGAGTCAGTGAAAGTGGAAAGCTTTTCTAGGACTATAATTTCCTCCTCATATTGTACAATATGTCTACTAACAACCTAGGCCTAGACTATTGGTCGTTTTTATTGATCTCAGATTCTCAGTCTGTCATTTCGATCATTTGTGTGGTATTACAAAATATTCTGCTAAAGTCTGAAATGTGCATGAAATGTGTTTATAAAATGCCAAATTCTTCCCAGACCCAAGTTTTTTTTTTTAAGATCTCCCATGTGTGCAACTTCTGTAAGCTCCTCTACACTAATACTCTATTCCACTACACAAATGCGATGAACTGCATGCACTGCTTTATTATAACGTTTAACATTTATTTTATCCGTTCCAGTTCCTCAGAGCCCCTCAGGTCACCCCCCCTCTCACGCTCACTTTTTGTTCCGCCACCTCCCGATTTACAACTTAAGCACTGGTGAAGACACTTGTCAGCTCTGAGTACACGTGCTGGTAATCCATCTGGCCCTGCGGCCTTGTGAATGTTAACCTGTTTAAAAGGTCTTACTCACATCGGCTATGGAGAGCGAGATCACACAGTCGTCCGGAACAGCTGGTGCTCTCATGCATGGTTCAGTGTTGCTTGCCTCGAAGCCAGCATAGAAGGGATTTTAGCTCCTCTGGTAGGCTCGAGTCACTGGGCAGCATGCGGATGGGTTTTCCTTTGTAATCCGTGATAGTTTGCAAGCCCTGCCACAGACGACGAGCGTCAGAGCCGGCGTAGTAGGATTCGATCTTAGACCTGTATTGACATTTTCACTGTTTGATCGCTCGTTGGTTTAACAGGATTTCTTATAAGTGTCCGGATTAGTGTCCCACTCCTTGAAAACAGCAGCTCTAGCCTTTAGCTCAGTGCAGATGTTGCCCGTAATCCATGGATTCTTGCCAGTGACTGATGTGGTAAACTCTTCAATGTTATAGGATGAATCCCGGGAACATATTTCAGTATGTGCTAGGGTTCGAGGGGTTCCTACTACATAACACAGCCACAATGTCAAAATTGGCTATATATAAAAATATATAATTAAAACAAAAATGTGCTTTTTGGTTTTAATTTAAGGTTAAGATTAGGCATAAGGTTAGCAGTGTGGTTAGGTTTAAAATACGTTTTTAAGAAGATACATTTCAGAAATATGTGGGGTTTATGACTTTGTGGCTGTGTTAACTAGTGACGACCGTGTTCGACAGCACCAACACCGTGATGTATCATGGGTAAATTGTGAATAACTGACTGATCTACAAATAATAATGAGTCGTTATTTATTGGCTCAAGACAAAACAATATATTTTTAATAATTCATAAGAAATTATTACAGGTTATTACAGGCGAGTTGACAGCTGGAGGGAACGAGGTAAACAATGGTTTTGTCTAAAAGGGATACAGTTTGTCAGAATTTTACAGAATTTTCTTTTCGTAGCCTGTTAGGAGAATTTACGCAGCAGGTTAGGATAATTAACGTAGTAGGTTAGGTGAATACGATTAAGGTTAGGAAAATGGTTAGGTAGTTAAAATACGAAAAAATATGAGATTTTTGACGTCAGTGTGAAACTATATCCCTGCTAGGCTGGACTGTAAACAAGTGATCACGGGACGGACACGTTGGACAAATTCCTTTCTTCTCTGACTTCCTGTTTACTTCCTGGTTGTTCTTGGCAGGCCAGTCAGTTCGTCAAGTTTCGCTGATCTTCATACTATGCGGGCAAGAAAGCGCGTTGAATTGCTTTCCTTGCATTCTATCAACACCAACAGATCTGCGAAAAAGGGTTGTGCCTAGGATGAGTTTTGCGGCTTCTTATTGGACGGAAAATAGTTGCCCCCGACCAAAACAGGAAATCCTATTGGATACTGTAAGGCTATTTAGGCAGTATTGATTTCTCATTGGCCGTATGATATTTCGCAACGTTGGACGGACCAACAACAACAAGATAGGGTGAAGCACTGTCGGGATGGATGCAGGTAGGAAATATTTCCTAAGGAAAACAATGATTCAACGCTTTTTTGTGTGTTTTAGAGTCCCTCTGAACAAAGCACGCCACATTTAGCTATTTCATAATGGATTCCAATTTGTACATCAGTTGAGGTTTACATCTAGTTTGAATGTGAATCAAAATAGTCATAGCTAGCAGTTAGGCAGCTGCTACCAACCCAACCCAACCAGACTGACAGGCTAAAATCAGCAGATGTCAGTTTGATATATTATTAAAAACATTTTGCTTGTGAACTAACTAGCTAGCTAACCTAGCAATCAGTATAGTTTGGACTGAAAACGACGAACTAAGGTGAAATAAACCCATGTTTTAGCTGCGGCTATTTTCTGTCCACGATATCAGTTAACGTTAGCATAACTAGGTCCCTGACTCCCAAGACAAATCTTTGTCGCCTACGCCCATGCAACATAACGTTATTGTCTAGTGTCACTAGCTAACTAACTAGCTACCTACCAACAACCGCTGAAAGGATGGTCACATAGCTAGCAAGCCAAATCTGTATTTGCAATGTCATTCTCTGTCGCAATCCCATACTTGGCTGGCTAGCTAGCAAGCTCAACTGTCAAACTGCATTGAGTGAGTGAATATGTTTTGCATTGCAGTGCTGAAAGTGCTTGGAGGATAGCTAGCTACTAGTCCTAATGTTACTGAAATCAATATACACTGAGTGTACAACATGCTCTTTCCATGACATAGACTGACCATGTGAAAGCTATGATCACTTATTGATGTCACTTGTTATATCCACTTCAAATCAGTGTAGATGAAGGGGAAGAGACAGGTTAAAGAAGGATTTTTAAACCTTGAGACAATTGAGATTGTGTATGTGTGCCATTCAGAGGTTGAATGGGCAAGACAAAATATTTAAGTGCCTTTGAACAGGGTATGGTAGTAGGTGCCAGGCGCACCGGTTTCTGTCAACGACTGCAAAGCTGCTGTGTTTTTCACGCTCAACAGTTTCCCGTGTGTATCAAGAATGGTCCACCACCCAAAGGACATCCAGCCAACTTGACACAACTGGGGGAAGCATTGGAGTCAACATGGGCCAGCATCCCTGTGGAATGCTTTTGACACCTTGTAGAATCCCATGCTCCAACAAATTGGGGCTGTTCTGAGGGCAAAAGGGAGTGCAACTCAATATTAGGAAGGTGTTCATTAATGATTCCTTGTTCAAATATATGTGTGTGTGTAAGCCATGTAGCAAGGTGTTCTGAATCAGATGCACTTTATATTTCAGCTACTCTCACATACGACACACTTCGCTTTGGAGAGTTTGACGATTTTCCAGAGACCTCAGAGCCTGTGTGGATCTTGGGGAAAGAATTCAATGCACTCACAGGTAGTGAAGACATCAGATCATAAAACAGGCTCTACTGTTGCCCCAGTATCTGTGTGTTAGAGATGTAGACGGTGAGTATAAGCTCTCCTCTCTAACGCCCAGAAAGCTCTGATTCAAACTCCCATTAGACAGCTCTGCACATGTTATAATACGTTTGGTACTCACAAAATATGGAATTTTGCTGAGTACTTATCTTCATATACTCACATTACGGCCGGTATGTACTTCCAAAAAAGTTTAACCTCCAAATCACTCATTACTGCCACACACAGGTCGGACGTCTACAACAACTGCCATCGGAGGTGCCAAATAGGCATTTTCTCGGGTGCTTGTACATTTTTATTTAGACCTTTTTTTTGGAAGTACATACCTGCCGTAACGGGAATAGATGAAGATGGTAACAGACGTATTTTGACATAACGCTTGCAGAGCTGTCTAATGGGAGTTTGAATCCGAGTTTTCTGGGCGTTAGAGAGGAGACGTGTCATAATCATTGGTAACATCTCTTAACACACAGATACTGGGGCAGTCTACTGTCATGTAATGCAAGACGGGAGGTGGTGTCACTGTTGTGTTTTTTTTTTTTTTTTTAAAAACATTTAGTTTATTTAGCGTTTTCTTACTCTGCATTGTTGGTTAAGGGCTTGTAAGCATTTCGTGGTAAGGTCTACTACACCGGTTGTATTCGTCGCATGTGACAAATAACATTTGATTTGATCCTCAGTAAGTCATTATATACACATGTAAATGAAGTACAGAAGTACAGAACAAACACACAGACAGTTAAAGGCCTACTGTAAGCAGCAGACAGTGATTAAAGGCCTACTGTAAGCAGCAGACAGTGAATAAAGGCCTATTGTAAGCAGCAGACAGTGCATAAAGGCCTACTGTAAGCAGTAGACAGTGATTTAAAGGCCTACTGTAAGCAGCAGACAGTGAATAAAGGCCTACTGTAAGCAGCAGACAGTGCTTAAAGACCTACTGTAAGCAGCAGACAGTGAATAAAGGCCTACTGTAAGCAGCAGACAGTATATAAAGGCCTACAGTAAGCAGCATACAGTGAATAAAGGCCTACTGTAAGCAGCAGACAGTGAATAAAGGCATACTGTAAGCAGCAGACAGTGATTAAAGGCCTACTGTAAGCAGCAGACAGTGAATAAAGTCCTACTGTAAGCAGCAGACAGTTAAAAGGCCTACAGTAAGCAGCATACAGTGAATAAAGGCCTACTGTAAGCAGCAGGCAGACAATAAAGGCCTACTGTAAGCAGCAGACAATAAAGGCCTACTGTAAGCAGCAGACCGTTAATAAAAGCCTACTGTAAGCAGCAGACTGTTAAAGGCCTACTGTAAGCAGCAGACAGTTAAAAGGCCTACAGTAAGCAGCAGACAGTATATAAAGGCCTACTGTAAGCAGCAGACAGTGAATAAAGGCCTACTGTAAGCAGCAGACAGTTAATAAGGGCCTACTGTAAGCAGCAGACAGTGAATAAAGGCCTACAGTAAGCAGCAGTTAAAGGCCTACTGTAAGCAGCAGACAGTGCATAAAGGCCTACTGTAAGCAGCAGAAGGCATGCTCCTTAGCTAACTCATTGTTTTTGCTTATCCAGAAAAGGAAGACATTCTTTCACACGTCACTTCACGACTATGGTTCACCTACAGAAAAAACTTCCCACCCATTGGTGAGTAGCCTCAACCTACTGTAGCAGGCAACAGAATAAGCCCTCGGACATTACTAATAAGCCTACAGTACCATAGCATTTTGAATGTAATACCAATAAGATTAGCCTATGAGGTGCAGATTATGTTTCAATGGTGTTCCAGGAGGGACAGGGCCTACGTCCGACACAGGCTGGGGCTGCATGCTGCGATGTGGACAGATGATCCTAGGCGAGGCCCTGGTCTGCAGGCATCTAGGCCGAGGTATGAGTGACTGCTTTTCTAATTCTGTACCTTTTAATCTGTTCCCTGAAGCATACAGCTAGCGGTATTGTGTGGACATTAGCTTCTATTATTCAAGTTATCAAAAATGTACTACATCAAATGATCTCCGGCACTGTGTGATACAAATCTCTTATTGCACTGTACTAAAGTGTTCTGTACAATGGGGTACTTAGTTTCACCCAGCCAATGATAAATGGCGTTTCTGTTATGCAGACTGGAGATGGGTGCGAGACCAGACTCAGAGAGATGAGTACATCAGTATCCTCAACGCCTTCCTTGACAAGAAAGATGGCTACTATTCTTTACATCAGATTGGTAAATACGGACTTGTAATCTTTATTCGACATCTTCAGACAGTCATACTTTATATTCAGAATTGAATGGGCAGTATTTCTTACACCAATCACATATAGTATCTTTATTGGGATGACAGCGTTGGTGTAACATATTTTATTAGGATGACAGCGTTGGTGTAACATATTTTATTAGGATGACAGCGTTGGTGTAACATATTTTATTAGGATGACAGCGTTGGTGTAACATATTTTTATTAGGATGACAGTGTTGGTGTAACATATTTTATTAGGATGACAGCGTTGGTATAACAACATCTTTATCGGGATGATACTAACAGCAGTTGTTTGTCTGTGTACTGCAGCCCAGATGGGAGTCGGGGAGGGGAAGCCTATAGGTCAGTGGTACGGACCAAACACAGTGGCACAGGTGCTGAAGTAAGTACAGTGAGCTCATCACTTAAGTCTCTGGTCTAGATCATGACCAACTCTGTGGCTGCACTAACCTGGTCCCAGATCTGTGTGTGCTCTTGGACAAACTCCATTGCCGTCATTGTCAAGCCAAACATTGGCACTAGCACAAACAGACTGGCGTTCAGTGCTACGGCTGCACAGTTTTTATTTTTTTGCGGTACAGACGATGACTGCTACCCTGGTGTTGAACTTCGCCCCCGTCTTCCCCTCAGGAAACTAACCGTGTTTGACTCGTGGAGTCGCCTGGCGGTGCACGTTGCTATGGACAACACTGTGGTGATCGAAGAGATCAGTGAGTAGCGAACACAGTCGTGGTATCAATCTCTAGAACATACGTGGTTAAAAAAAAGGGGGGGGGGGCTGTCGACTGTTAGTCCTACTCATAACGTTAGCGTTCATCCAGTTTTGTATTGAGTGTCATCCAGAGTACTCAAGCCCAAGGGCTTTTATGGACCACCATAATAGTAGATGGGAACAGGCTATTGAGATTTTTTTATTTTATTTATTTATTTAACCAGGTAAGAAGCCAGTTGAGGACAAGTTCTCATTTACAACTGCGACCTGGCCAAGATAAAGCAAAGCAGTGCGATAAAAACAACAACTACACAGAGTTACATATGGGGTAAACAAAACGTACAGTCTAGATGAGTGAGATTGAATGAAAGTCTATCTGACCTCTCCTGTTGTATTCCCCAGAGTGTTGTGTATGTATAGACCTGTACAGTGCATTCGGAAAGTATTCAGATCCCTTGACTCTTTCCACATTTTGTTACGTTACAGCATTATTCTAAAATTGATTAAATTACACACAATACCCCATAATGACAAAGCGAAAACCGTTTTTTAGAAATGTTTGCAAATGTATATGAAAAAAAAAAACATACCTTATTTACATAAGTATTTACATAAGTATTCAGACCCTTTGCTATGAAACTCGAAATTGTGCTCAGGTGCATCCTGTTTCCATTGATCATCCTTGAGATGTTTCTACAACTTGATTGGAGTCCACCTGTGGTAAATTCTATTGATTGGACATGATTTGGAAAGGCACACCTGTCTATATAAAGGTCCCACAGTTGACAGTACATGTCAGAGCAAAAACCAAGCCATGAGGTTGAAGGAATTGTCTGTAGAGCTCCGAGACAAGATCATGTCGAGGCACAGATCTGGGGAAGGGTACCAAAAAAATGTCTGCAGCATTGAAGGTCCTCAAGAACACAGTGGCCTCCATCATTCTTATTCTTAAATGGAAGAATTTTGGTACCACCAAGACTCTTCCTAGAGCTGGCCGCCCGGCCAAACTGAGCAATCAGGTGGAGAAGGGCCTTGGTCAGGGAGGTGACCAAGAACCCAATGATCACTCTGACAGAGCTCCAGAGTTCCTCTGTGGAGATGGGAGAACTTTCCAGAAGGACAACCATCTCTGCAGCACTCCACCATACAGGCATTTATGGTAGAGTGGCAAGATGGAAGCCACTCCTCAGTAAAAGGCACATGACAGCCCGCTTGGGCCAAAAGGCACCTAAAGACTCTCAGACCATGATAAACAAGATTCTCTGGTCTGATAAAACCCAAGATTGAACTCTTTGGCCTGAATGCCAAGTGTCACATCTGGAGGAAACCTGGCACCCTCCCTACGGTGAAGCATGGTGGTGGCAGCATCATGCTGTGGGGATGTTTTTCAGTGGCAGGGACTGGGAGACTAGTCAGGATCGAGGGAAAGATGAACAGAGCAAAGTACAGAGATCCTTGATGAAAACCTTCTCTAGAGTGCTCAGGACCTCAGACTGGGGCGAAGGTTCACCTTCCAACAGGACAACGACCCTAAGCACACAGCCAAGACAATGCAGGAATGGCTTCGGGACAAGTCTCTGAATGTCCTTGAGTGGCCCAGCCAGAGCCCAGACTTGAACCCGATCGAACATCTCTGGAGAGACCTGAAAATAGCTGTGCAGCGACGCTCCCCATCCAACCTGACAGAGCTTGAGAGGATCTGCAGAGAAGAATGGGAGAAACTCCCCAAATACAGGTGTGCCAGGCTTGTAGCGTCATACCCAAGAAGACTCGAGGCTGTAATCGCTGCCAAAGGGGTTTCAACAAAGTACTGAATAAAGGGTCTGAATACTTATGTAAATGTAATAAATTAACAAAACATTCTGAAAACCTGTTTTTGCTTTGTCATTATGTGGTATTGTGTGTAGATTGATGAGGGGAAAAAAATCAAATTAACCTTTTTTAGAATAAGGCTGTAACGTTACAAAATGTGGAAAAAGTGAAGGGGTCTGAATACTTCCCGAATGCACTGTATGCTATGTAATGTTGCTATTCTCCCCAGAGCGGCTGTGTATGCCCTGGCTGGACTATGGTGGAGCAGCGTGTGTGGATTTCGAGGGGGGGATGCCGGAGCGTAACGGCTGCCTGGAGGGGGCCTGTGCCCTGGCTGAGGAAGAGACCGCTCTCTGGAAGCCCCTGCTTCTCCTCATTCCACTCAGGCTGGGCCTAAGCCACATCAACGAGGCCTACATCCAGACCCTGAAGGTGGGACTGAGAGAAAAGAGCCTGGTCCCAGATCTGTTTGTGCTGTCTTACCAACTCCTATGGTCATTACCTAGCCTGGTCCCAGATCTGTTTGTGCTGTCTTACCAACTCCTATGGTCATTACCTAGCCTGGCCCCAGATCTGTTTGTGCTGTCTTACCAACTCCTATGGTTGTTGTCATGCCATGAGAGTTGGCTTTACAACACGAACCTATCTGGGACCAGAATAATATTCACCCACAAACTAAAGTGTAATGACCTTTTCCATGTATACGACCGGGTCAAATTCCATCCCCTCTTTCTGTGTATCTTGTTCACAGCAATGCTTCCAGCTGCCCCAGTCCCTTGGTGTCATCGGAGGGAAACCCAACAGTGCCCATTACTTCATAGGCTATGTTGGTATGTTCTGCACACTGACATTACTTCATAGAAATATCCAGTCTATGGTCTCCTCTAGTTAGAATACACTCTTCATGCTTTGCACTATTGCGACCCTCTGCTCCACTAGGAGCTAAAAGAAAGATGTAAAATCATACTTGAACGGTCTCCTGCTGCTAAGTAGGGCATGTTGTCCTCTATCTCCCCCCCAGGAGATGAGCTTATCTACCTGGACCCCCACACCACCCAGCCTGCAGTAGAGCCCTGTGAGGACAGCCAAGTCCCGGACCACACCTACCACTGTCAGCACCCGCCCTGCCGCATGCATATCTGTGAAATAGACCCCTCCATCGCAGTGGTAAGAGAACCAGAGGCTAGGGCTATGTGGGTTTAGGTCAAAGGTAGAGCAATATTTAGCTTGCTAACCCCTTTTCTCAAGCAGCAGGTACAGTTGAAGTCGGAAGTTTACATGCAATTAAGTTGAAGTCATTAAAACTCGTTTTTTCAACCACTCCACACATTTCTTGTTAACGAACTATAGTTTTGGCAAGTCGGTTAGGACATCTACTTTGTGCGTGACACAAGTAATTTTTCCAACAATTGTTTACAGACAGTGTATGTAAACTTCTGACCCACTGGAATTGTGATACAGTGAATTATAGGTGAAATAATCTAAGTTGACTGTGCCTTTAAACAGCTTGGAAAATTCCAGAAAATGTCATGGCTTTAGAAGCTTCTGATAGGCTAATTGACATCATTTGAGTCAATTGGAGGTGTACCTGTGGATGTATTTCAAGGCCTACCTTCAAACGCAGTGCCTCTTTGCTTGACATCATGGGAAAATCAAGAGAAATCTGCCAAGACCTCAGAAGAAAAGTTGTAGACCTCCACGTCTGGTTCATCCTTGGGAGCAATTTCCAAACGCCTGAAGGTACCACGTTAATCTGTACAAACAATAGTACGCAAGTATAAACACCATGGGACCACGCAGCCGTCATACCGCTCAGGAAGGAGATGCGTTCTGTCTCCTAGAGATGAAAATACTTTGGTGCGAAAAGTGCAAATCAATCCCAGAACAACAGCAAAGGACCGTGTGAAGATGCTGGAGGAAACGGGTACAAAAGTATCTATATCCACAAGTCCTATATCGATATAACCTGAAAGGCCGCTCAGCAAGGAAGAAGCCACTGCTCCAAAACCGCCATAAAAAAGCCAGACTACGGTTTGCAACTGCACATGGGGACAAAGATCGTACTTTTTGGAGAAATGTCCTCTGGTCTGATGAAACACAAATAGAACTGTTTGGCCATAATGACCATTGTTATGTTTAGAGGAAAAAGGGCGAATGCTTGCAAGCCGAAGAACACCATCCCAACCGTGAAGCACGGGGGTGGCAGCATCATGCTGTGGGGGTGCTTTGCTGCAGGAGGGACTGGTGCACTTCACAAAATAGATGGCATCATGAGGAAGGAAAATTATGTGGATATATTGAAGCAACATCTCAAGACATCAGTCAGGAAGTTAAAGCTTGGTCGCAAATGGGTCTTCCAAATGGACAATGACCCCAAGCATACTTCCAAAGTTTTGGCAAAATGGCTTAAGGACAACAAAAGGTATTGGAGTGGCCATCACAAAGCCCTGACCTCAAACCTATAGAAAATGTGTGGGCAAACGTTTGATCCAAGTTAAACAATTTAAAGGCAATGCTACCAAATACCAATTGAGTGTATGTAAACTTCTGACCCACTGGGAATGTGATGAAAGAAATAAAAGCTGAAATAAATCATTCTCTGTACTATTATTCTGACATTTCGCATTCTTAAAATAAAGTGGTGATCCTGACTGACCTTAGACAGGGAATTTTTACTAGGATTAAATGTCAGGAATTGTGAAAAACTGAGTTAAAAATGTATTTGGCTAAAAGGTGTATGTAAACTTCCGACTTCAACTGTATATCGTAATGATAGCATTAGCTAAATATAATTTAGCTGAGTGCCATTTGAAGTGAATGACTAAACGTTGGTTAGGTATGGATTCCAGTTCTATAGATGTGTTCTATTTTGCTGACTCACTACAGCAGTCCTTTTTTTCTGATATTTACCAGGGTTTCTTCTGCAGAACGGAGGACGACTTTGATGACTGGTGTATGCGCATCCGAAAGGTACTCTGATGTTTCAAAGGGATACAAATAAAAAAAAGGTTATCAATTCACCTCAGCACTCAGTCTCCCGAGTGGCGCAGTGGTCTAAGGTGCAGTGCAGGCTGTGCCACTAGAGATCCTGGTTCGAATCCAGGCTCTGTTGTAGCCGGCCGCGACCGGGAGACCCATGGGGCGGCGCGCAATTGGCCCAGCGTCGTCCAGGGTAGGGGAGGGAATAGCCGGCAGGGATGTAGCTCAGTTGATAGAGCATGGCGTTTGCAACGCCAGGGTTGTGGGTTTGATTCCCACAGGGGGTATGAAAAAAAATAATGTAAGTCGCTCTGGATAAGAGCGTCTGCTAAATGACGCAAATGTAAATGTAAACATCTTTTCAGATACGGGTGTCAGTTGTATCCCTTGAAAAATAGGTATTTTTAACCTCAAATGGGTCAACCTGATAAAATAAAAAAAGGTTACTTTATCTGACAGTTGTTTTGCTGTGGTTCAGTGAGCCAGGTCCTGCGAGCATTGACTCCTCGCAATTCTCCCAGAGTGTACTAATCAGTATTTATCTGCCCCGTCTTTCTCTTCAGTTGTCCCACACTAGAGAAGGCCTGCCCATGTTTGAGCTGGTAGACTGTCAACCATCTCACTTCGCCTGTTCTGTAGACGTACTCAACCTCAATCCTGGTAAACGTCAAACACTTCTGTCTACATTCTCTTGACCTGTGGGGGGGGGGTCGAGGAAGGGATATCGTGATTTATTTCTCTTTACAGATTGAGGCTGGGATTCAGTCAGAGGTGCGTTATCATTAAGCGCCTTTTAAAAAAAGGCAGTTATCCCTGCAGACGTCAGCTCAAGTGTAAATGACCTTTAAATGCCAAGCGCTGTGTGCAAACTACAACACGCCTTTGATTGAATCCTGGCCTAAAATCTGGGCAGGACAATGAAGTGATTAATTATTTTCAGAAATCTAATGTCCTATGTTGTTAAGGTGATTAATTTCTCTTTACAGACTATACATCTGTTTAAAAAGACGATGTGATAATGTTGATGAATCCTTTATTTCTCCCTCTCATCTAGATTTCTCAGACTGCGATAGGTTGGAGCGGTTCTTTGATTCTGAGGATGAAGAGTTTGAAATTCTGTCCCTGTGATGATCGAATACAGTCATATGTCCTGGCAGAGCCCCAACGATTCTTCTCTGTATCAGAAGGGAAGCCATGGGGGACGTCACTAGCCAACCTGGCGATGATGGCGTAGTGATGTGTCAAACAGTTGTCTTCTGATCTGAACAGCCACTGACTGCTCTCTGTGTCCAATGAGGAGACTCGTTGCTAGGAGGTGGTACAATGTAGCGGGAGCTTTCAAGACCAATTCAGTTTCAGTACAAAAGTATTGGTCATTTTTCCTATTTTGTTGCATTACAACCTGTAATTTAAGTGGATTTTTATTTTAGATTTCATGTAATGGACTTACACAAAATAGTCCAAATTGGTGATGTGAAATGAAAAAAAAGGACTTGTTTCAAAAAATTCTAAAAAATAAATAACAGAAAAGTGGTGCGTACATATGTATTCACCCCCTTTGCTATGAAGCCCTTAAATAAGATCTGGTGCAACCAATTACCTTCAGAAGTCACATAATTAGTTAAATAAAGTCCACCTGTGTGCAATCTAAGTGTCACATGATCTCAGTATATATATATATATATATATATATATATATATATATATATATATATATATATATATATATATATATATATATATATATATATATATATATATATATATATATATATATATATATATACACACACATGTTCTGAAAGGCCCCAGAGTCTGCAACAAGAGTGGCCAGAAAAAAGCCATTGCTTAAAGAAAAAAATAAGCAAACACGTTTGGTGTTCGCCAAAAGCCATGTGGGAGACTCCCCAAACATATGGAAGAAGGTACTCTGGTCAGATGAGACTAAAATTGAGCTTTTTGGCTATCAAGGAAAATACTATGTTTGGCGCAAACCCAAATATCTCATCACCCCGAGAACACCATCAGCATGGTGGTGGCAGCATCATGCTGTGGGGATGTTTTTCCATCGGCAGGGACTGGGAAACTGGTCAGAATTGAAGGAATGATGGATGGCGCTAAATACAGGGAAATTCTTGAGGGAAATCTGTTTCAGTCTTCCAGAGATTTGAGACTGGGACGGAGGTTCACCTTCCAGCAGGACAATGACCCCAAGCATACTGCTAAAGCAACACTCGAGTGGTTTAAGGGGAAACATTTAAATGTCTTGGAATGGCCTAGTCAAAGCCCAGACCTCAATCCAATTGAGAATCTGTGGTATGACTTAAAGATTGCTGTACACCAGGGGAACCCATCCAACTTGAAGGAGCTGGAGCAGTTCTGCCTTGAAGAATGGGCAAAAATCCCAGTGGCTAGATGTGCCCAGCTTATAGAGACATACCCCATGAGACTTGCAGCTGTAATTGCTGCAAAAGGTGTCTCTACAAAGTTTAGACATACTTATGCATGCTCACGTTTTCTGTTTTTTTGTCTTATTTCTTGTTTGTTACACACCCAAAAATATTTTGCATCTTCAAAGTGGTATGCATGTTGTGTAAATCAAATGATACAAACCCCCCCCAAAATCCATTTAAATTCCAGGTTGTAAAGCAACAAAATAGGAAAAATGCCAAGAGGGGTGAATACTTTCGCAAGCCACTGTACGTACATCTTCACATGTCTCGATTAAGTCTTAACACTTAAATATTTCCTTTGAAAGTTATATGGTGCCTTTACCCCTAAAAGCTGAATTTCCATAACACAGTTGACCTAGTGTTTCGTCAGGGACTTGGGTTCAATCCCTAATTGGTTTACTACTGTACTCTTGGCTTATGTCACTGATATCTGAAGTCTGTATTAATGGATGTAAACCAACATTTGGTTGAGTGAAATTCGCAGATCCAAATAGGTTCTTATTCATTCAGAGTACCGTTGTCGAAAATATCGAAAATGGACAGAGATGGAAATGTTAAAGAAAAAAGAAGAAATAAAAAAAAAAGTTACAGCTTGGACATTTATTTTATTTACTCGTTTTTGGCTGTGGTCTTTAGTGAAATAATAAATTTGAAAGAGTTGACTACACCCACTTAAATATCATACAGTCTGTAGTGCAGTTTCATATTCAAGTTTTTTTTACCCTCTCTGACTTCTCCTCGTGTACTAGGCACTGTCCGGTGGAATCAGGGCCAGTGTGATCTCCAGAGGATAAATTGGGTCTCCTGGTCAAGGCTCACTTCCACAGCTCCCCAATTGGCTCATTCTCTGCTGCATTGATGGCGTTTACACTGTGGTTCTTAATGTCGGTGTGCACATCTTCAATGTTCCTGGCTGCATCAATCACCTAGGAGATGACAAGAATATAATCTTTATGGATTTACCATTGAAGAGCTTAATGTAACCTCTTATGTTTGTGCCATATTATGAATGGTGGGACAAACCAATGGCCAAAGCTCCAGATCCTCCCTCCAAAGCTCCAGATCCTCCCACCAAAGCTCCATATCCTCCCTCCAAAGCTCCATATCCTCCCTCCAAAGCTCCATATCCTCCCACCAAAGCTCCATATCCTCCCACCAAAGCTCCAGATCCTCCCACCAAAGCTCCAGATCCTCCCTCCAAAGCTCCAGATCCTCCCTCCAAAGCTCCAGATCCTCCCACCAAAGCTCCAGATCCTCCCACCAAAGCTCCAGATCCTCCCTCCAAAGCTCCAGATCCTCCCACCAAAGCTCCAGATCCTCCCACCAAAGCTCCAGATCCTCCCACCAAAGCTCCAGATCCTCCCACCAAAGCTCCATATCCTCCCACCAAAGCTCCAGATCCTCCCACCAAAGCTCCAGATCCTCCCACCAAAGCTCCAGATCCTCCCACCAAAGCTCCAGATCCTCCCACCAAAGCTCCATATCCTCCCACCAAAGCTCCATATCCTCCCTCCAAAGCTCCATATCCTCCCACCAAAGCTCCATATCCTCCCACCAAAGCTCCATATCCTCCCACCAAAGCTCCATATCCTCCCACCAAAGCTCCAGATCCTCCCACTTCTACCAAGGTGTGCACTTGTCCACTCCCATTAATGGATTTAAAAAGTATTGGATAGGTGTGGTCATTGGCTGGAGGGGGTTTCCACCATTGTTAAATCAAATGACGGGGAGGGTGCAACTGCAAACTTTGGGAGAAGTGTGGGGAAAATCAGGACACTACTTCTTACCTGCCACTTGACAGAGGGGTCCTTCATCAGAAGTTCAAACTGTCTGCTGTACGGCCTTCTGGAAGACGCTGGTCTCATATCGCTCTGTCCCAAACTGGCCCCGCTGGGCCGCCTCGGAGGGGTTGAGCTGGAGGAACATCACCAGGTCTGGCTTGGGCAGCCCCACGTCAGGATTCATACACCAGTCCAGATCGAAACCCTACACAGCAGACAAGGCAGTGTTGCGTTTGAGACCACCTAAAGCGAGACCCAAGTCAATACCGGACCGAAACGAGACAGAGTCAAAACCAGAGGGAAGGGGTCGAGACCGAGACCAGGAGGGGTGGACGAGAGGTCCGAGACAGAGTCAAGACTGAGACCAGAAAAATCGGAGTCCAATTCAAGACCATGACAAAAAAAAAAAATCAAATCGTCACCATAATAGGAGTTAAAAAGTCCAGTATTTCTTAGTTCATATTTCAGAACATCATATGGATTCTTTAGACATTCATAACGGTGAAGAAAGAAAGAAAGAAGCATGGTGAGGGCAAGTAGAGCCACTCTACAACGTATTACTAACCTAAACACAGTGGGGAACGATGAGGCCCTTCTACGCTTTCAGAGAAAGGCTAAGGATTTATAAAATAATAAAAATATTATTTTTTGGGATGCCACCGATATTACATTTTTGGCCGATACCCGGTATTTTCCTTGCCAAAAAACCTGATATTTAAAAATGTTTGTGGCCTTTTAAGCATTTTAGTACAGTTAAATATTTGAAACAAAGTGTCATATGTTAATTTGTTCAGTTAGGAACAGATTGTTTAATAACTTGTAAATGAGAAAAATTACAAATCCATGAACATATTTTAATCGCACAACTGATATTCATGACAAATATTTTAGCTGCCCCCCCGCGTTACAAACATGGTTCAGTTGTTGGTGGCTCTTCTTACTATCCAATATTGACTGTATGGAGAAACTTTAAAAAAATGCTTTGAAATAAATATTGGTTTAAACTAAAAAAATGCAGTGACTAATTTTAGCTTTAACTGCTTGAAAACAAAATATATACTGTCTCTAGGCTATGTCATAAACTGCTATAAAATGGCACAACTTTTCAAAATGTGCTCAACTGACTTGACTAGTAAAATGCGAGCAAATTTACAACACATCTCATCTTTCATTTAGTAAATATTTAAAATAAAAAAAGCTTTGTTTTAAATTAAATGAAAATCTTGACCTATACCAGCCATGAATAAACAGAAAAGCCATTGGGCTTAGACATTTTTCTCTCTCTAGATGACTGGGTTACAATATGACTTGCCCATTTACAATTTTAACATTTGGGGGAGGTTTTTCCTTCAACAAAGAGGACCTGCTCGGCTTTGTCACAAGAGAGTCTGTTTCTTTTTTCGGCTACAATGTGTGAAGCTGCACTGAAAAAGGCGCTCACTGTCCACACTACTACAGGGAGCACCAAGATACTGGCGCGCAGCTTAAGCGACGACGGGGAAACGCTGCTTGTTACTTCTCCAGTATCCAAGTGCATCTTCATTCCTGGGAATTGTAGGTTCTGTCAGGTATGCTAGTTTCTACCATTAAAATTATAGAATGATCATTTCTTTGTCAGTGGGCAAACGTACAAAATCAGCAGGGGATCAAATACTTTTTTCCCCCTCACTGTAACAATTTCACAATATATACCCAATACACACAAAACTAGTAAAGAATGGAATTTAAGAAATATACATACATACATACATACATGGACAAACAATGACAGAGCGGCATGGACTAAGATACAGTAGAATATTATAGAATAGAATACAGTATATACATATGAGATGAGTAATGCAAGATATGTAAACATTATTAAAGTGACTAAACATTATTAAAGTGACTAGTGTTCCATTTCTTAAAAAGTGGCCAGTGATTTCAATAGGCAGCAGCAGCCTCTAATGTGCTAGTGATGGCTATTTAACAAACTGATGGCCTTGAAATAGAAGCTGTTTTTCATTCTCTTGGTCCCAGCTTTGATGCACCTGTACTGACCTCGCCTTCTGGATGATAGCGGGGTGAACAGGCTGTGGCTCGGGTGGTTAATGTCCTTGATGATCTTTTTGGCCTTCCTGTGACATCGGGTGCTGTATGTGTCTTGGAGGGCGGGTAGTTTTGCCCCCGATAATGCGTTCGGCAGACGGCACCACCCTCTGGAGAGCCCTGCGGCTGTTCCATCTGGTGGAAACGTCTTGCTTAAGCCTTTTCGTTTTCACTCCAAGCTGCTCCTGTACTGCTTGCAGGCGGCTGTATGCTAGCTGTGAGTGTTTAAAATGACCCGCTATATTTCTACCTGTTGTCACCGTGTCAGATATGCTCCGTTACGCCAAAAGCATATTCGTTAAGCATATTCGTTCACAGGCAGTTGCAGCGTGTGTGCCATGCATGGCAAACTGGCGACTCCGCAATCTTCCAAAGCCTTTGTCATGTTACGTGCATTATCACGTAGCACAGCCTGTACTTTGTTCTTGGGGATTTTCCAAGTTTCAAACATGTTCTCAAAATGCCATTGAAATGGCAGCAGCGGTATGAGAACCAGCACATTCTTGAGCATGCAATACGGCTTCACTCAGTACGAAATCCTCGTCGACCCACTGTGCTGTCAGACTCAGCTTGCTCATGGGGCTGACGTCGCTGGTCCAAATGTCAGTCGTGAAGCTAATAGCAGTGGCGCCCATAGCAAGTAGCTCATGGATGTGCGTTTCAACAATACTGTGCAACTCCGGTAGGGCAACACCTGGAAAACAGGGCCTACTTGGTAGTGTGTACCGGGGCTCGAGGAGCTCGACCAGTCGGCGAAAGCCAACATCATCCACGACAGAGAACGGTTGATTGTCAATGAATTCCATTATCTTGGCGTTAATGGATTTCGCCTTCGAGTTGTCTCGCTGAAATTTTCATACTGTTGGGTTCTATTTTCTAATAATTGGATTGAAGTGATGAATAGCTTAGAAGGAATGCATTAATGAGGAGCATAGGTTTGAACTATACTGATATAAATTGTTTCACATAACAGGCTGTGATTCATGTGAGGAACGTTAGGGGCTAGGATGAGATAAAACTTGTATTTCTTATAGATAAGACTTGTATTTCTCACAGATACGAACACTGCTTCTTTGTGATCTGTGAACCTTCCAAGGACATGGGTACTGCAAAAAAAGTGCTAACGCCACAGGTTGTTATGATAAACTTATGCCTGGCAACAGGGTGCAACAAATGGAGCGCCGAGGGGTTGGGACTAACCCGTGCGCCAACGGATTGGCTGAGTAAAGTCTAAACCCCACTCAGTCCTTTACTCTGATTGGCCAACAGAAGAGGTGGGAACTCTCTGTCAGAGTATTTGAGAAAGAACCTGTAAACAATGGTTTAGTTCTCTGTCTGCCCTGCGTGGTTTTTCAGTGAGCCCGTATACGAACCTTCATACTTATCATACATACATTTTGCATATAATAAATTTAGCTTGGATTGAATATCTCTTGATTATCTTTTCTCTTATTCCAATACCAGATTTGAATTACGCAATTTCTAACAATACTCTTTAAAAATGACTGCTTGACTTGAACTTGTTTAGTTGTTGGAAGTGCGCTTAGAACAAAACCAGTAAAAAAAAACAAAGTAGTCGCTGAACGTCTGGGGGTGATGCACTTTCAAATGAGTAATTAGGTTTGTGGTATTGAAAGATTTCTCTTTCTCCCCTCCTTGGGAAATAATAGCTGCGCAAAACGTTGCATATGGCCTTTCTGTAATCCTCCTTTGAAACTTCAGAATAGATCCACACAGCAGACATTGTGGGCTAGGTTGGGAATGCTATGTTGCACCAGTAGCGCTGTATTTTTCGTGGCGTCATTACGTCATCTAGGTATGCACTGTAGCTTTGACATCGGTTTGGCACATCGGCGTTAAACTATACATACATTTACTTCATTTAGCAGACGCTCTTATCCAGAGCGACTTACAAATTGATACATAGAGCCGATGCCGGCATTTTCAGCTAATGTCGGCCGATTCCGATATGCTTACCGATATACCATGCATCCCTAATTTATTTTCAACAATTTTCTGATTTAATCTCTTCAGTTTTGTTAGAAAGGAAAAGGGTTAACACTGAAGACCAAAAAAATATCTAAAATCAGGATAATAATTCTAGCTAGCTAAGTCAGCCATTGGGCTAGGCCATCCGAAGCTTGATAGAAGGCATCTGCCATTCAACTCTAATAGGGCAACATTTTGGAGTGACAGTGGAATCAACCAATTACATTGACTTGTATGGAAACTTCTGCCTTCTCAAAGGCCAACAGGTCGCTGTGCAATAGGGAGCAGTAGTTTTCTCACGGTCTAGCTAGCTAGCTAGCTAGCTTTTGTTGTAGGCTATTTTGCAGTGGCTGCAGCAGGTGTTATCGTAGAGGATGTTCTCCCTTTTCAAGAATAACTAACTTTCAACAAGAACTTTAGTTTCAAATTATCATCATCTGTTGAATGGAACTGTGTTTTTTATTTATTTATTTATTGCAGCTCGCATGCTGTTGTTAGCCATCTCTTTGAAAATAACTTGTGTGAAATATTGTTGCATTTAAACTTTAGATCACCGGTTACTTTGTGTGCTAAATGTGAATATTTTTTTTTTTTTTTTTGCAATGGGAAGTAATAGTTGTACATTTCGATTGGGAAATGCTTAGCCTAACGGTTGTTTTTGTTATCTTATGATTGGGACCTACAGGCTTATTATGTCCGAGTGAAATGGACTGCTGTCATTCCATCGGCCCTATGCAGTGGTGTAGTGGTGCCTGGAGAAGTGGGTCCTGTGTGAAGGAAAGGCCCTGTGTGGAAAAATCCTGTGTTTTCTTATAGATTTTTCAGTTTTTCAACAACGTGTTCTAAGTCAACAACAATGCTTAAACCACATCAGGAGACCCCTTTTTGAGGTCTGGGAAAAATCCCCCCAAAATTGGGGTGAGGATCTAGTTGCCCTTTAATTCAACTGAGCAAAACAAAATGTCCTCTCCATTGATACAAATCAGCATTATATCACTATGTCAGGTAAGCTAACATTGCAGTCAACATTTAAATTGGGAAGTTTTTTTTGGGGGGAAAGCCTTTAGAAATGTTCATGCAAACAGCAGATGACTGAATTGCACATCGCAAATAGCCTCCTAACCAAGACTAAAGGACCAAAGTTTGCATACCCACTGTTGCCTTAGTTAGCATTTACTGGTAGATATCATAAGTTGAAACGTCTTTCCTACCTTACCGGCTACCGATGTCATCCTTCTGTGAGCTGCTCCAGTTGAGACCTGGCTGTGTGAGGCGCGAATGTGAATACATTTCACCTGCTTTGCGATTGTGTAGGCTACTTTGTGCATGATTTCTCTATTGTACTACATAGTTCATAAGTCGTATACATCCACTACACTACCTTGATACGCATCAAATAGGGATTAAGGAGTATAAGCACTGAAAAACAAAGTGGATATACGGTTTATACCTGCGTATACCCTCCACTACACCACTGGTATACGGTTTATACCTGCGTATACCCTCCACTACACCACTGGTATACGGTTTATACCTGCGTATACCCTCCACTACACCACTGGTATACGGTTTATACCTGCGTATACCCTCCACTACACCACTGGTATACGGTTTATACCTGCGTATACCCTCCACTACACCACTGGTATACGGTTTATACCTGCGTATACCCTCCACTACACCACTGGTATACGGTTTATACCTGCGTATACCCTCCACTACACCACTGGTATACGGTTTATACCTGCGCATACCCTCCACTACAACACTGGTATACGGTTTATACCTGCGTATACCCTCCACTACAACACTGGCCCTTTGTGTTGTTTTACTCCTACATGAATGCACTGGTATTATGGTTACGGTCCTTTCAACATCACGAGCCAGTCACACACTGAAGGCCTACGTTCAATAGGTTTGCCACTGCAGCAAACATGTCTATAATATATATATATATATAATATGCCATTTAGCAGACGCTTTTATCCAAAGCGACTTACAGTCATGCGTGCATACATTTTTTTGTGTATGGGTGGTCCCGGGGATCGAACCCACTACCCTGGCGTTACAAGCGCCGTGCTCTACCAGCTGAGCTACAGAGGACCTACAATTTCCCCTGTCTTCCCTTACTAATAGTGAGCGTGCAACCTTCCAACAATTTCCCCCCACTATTCCCTACCAGCAAGTCAAGCAAATTCTGCCAAAGTTTGAGGCTATTTTTCAATGAAAGTAAAGAACAGTAATGTTATGAGTAAAGTAGGAATCCCAGGTTTCAATAGGCTATAAGACATTAATGTTTCAAGAAAGGAGTGTATATATTTGGAAATTATGAGTCCTCACTGTCCGAGACCAAGTCAAGACCGAGTACAAATGTATCCCACACTGAGACACAATGTGTGGTCTTGACATCGGACTCGAGTACTACAACACTGCAGTAGGGGGTACTTCAGGTAACCACATAAAGTAACCACTGTGCTGAAGAACGCACAGGCTTGGCGCGATTAAAGCGGTGTGTATGTTTTAAGGGAACTCACAGGCTTGGCGCTGGTGAAGGCCACTCCAGAGAAGGCGTATCTGTCCACCACCAGACTGATGCCCTGCTTCAACTTCTCCTTCATCAGAGGCCTGGAAAGAAAAGAAGGCGTGTCAGACATACGGTACCAGTCAAACGTTTGGACACACCTACTCCTGATGGAGCAACCGGAAGTGGTTAAAATGGACCCTAAACGTGGTTTTGATTTCACTCCCTGCAGTTAGTGAAAAACACTGCATTCAACCCTTTCTATATCAGTTAACGGAAATACTTGAAACTCAGGATTCTGTAAAAGCGTGTCCCAAGGAGGATGTTTACTTTCAGCTTCCTGTAATAACAGGAAGTGCCTTCAATTGGGGTCATAGGGGCTGTTTTGCAGGGTTACAAAAGGTCACATCTTTCCAAAATGTCATATATGTGGTTGTGCAACCCTCATGATCCGGCACATATTTGAAAACCAGGTTTGTCCTGGAGGTTCAATCTAAGTACAGTGGCTTGCGAAAGTATTCACCCCAATTTTTGCCCGTTCTTCAAGGCAAAACTGCTCCAGCTCCTTCAAGTTGGATGGGTTCCGCTGGTGTACAGCAATCTTTAAGTCATACCACAGATTCTCAATTGGATTGAGGTCTGAGCTTTGACTAGGCCATTCCAAGACATTTCAATGTTTCCCCTTAAACCACTCGAGTGTTGCTTTAGTAGTATGCTTAGGGTCATTGTCCTGTTGGAAGGTGAACCTCCGTCCCAGTCTCAAATCTCTGGAAGACTGAAACGGGTTTCCCTCAAGAATTTCCCTGTATTTAGCGCCATCCATCGTTCCTTCAATTCTGACCAGTTTCCCAGTCCCTGCCGATGAAAAACATCCCCACAGCATGATGCTGCCACCACCATGCTTCACTGTGGGGATGGTGTTCTCGGGGTGATGAGAGGTGTTGGGTTTGCGCCAGACATAGCGTTTTCCTTGATGGCCAAAAAGCTCAATTTTAGTCTCATCTGACTAGAGTACCTTCTTCCATATGTTTGGGGAGTCTTCCACATGCCCTTTGGCGAACACCAAACGTGTTAGCCTATTTTTTTCTTCAAGCAATGGCTTTTTTCTGGCCACTCTTCCGTAAAGCCCAGCTCTGCGGAGTGTACGGCTTAAAGTGGTCCTATGGACAGATACTCCAATCTCCGCTGTGGAGCTTTGCAGCTCCTTCAGGGTTATCTTTGGTCTCTTTGTTGCCTCTCTGATTAATGCCCTCCTTGCCTGGTCCGTGAGTTTTGGTGGGCGGCCCTCTCTTGGCAGGTTTGTTGTGGTGCCATATTCTTTCAAATTTTTTTTTATAACAGGATTTTAAATGGTGCTCCGTGGGATGTTCAAAGTTTCAGATATTTTTTTATAACCCAACCCTGATCTGTACTTCTCCATAACTTTGTCCCTGACCTGTTTGGAGATGCGTGTGAGTCTCGAGCTAATCGGACCATGGATATAAGACACTTGTAACTTAACTGGGAGGCACAACGTTGCACTCCTGACATCATACTCGAGTATTGAGCCAATAGCAGCATCTATATATTAGGAATGGGCTTAGTTCATAAACAATAATAATAATAATAGGTCATTTAGCAGACGCTCTTATCCAGAGCGACTTACAGGAGCAATTAGGGTTAAGTGCCTTGCTCAAGGGCACATCGACAGATTTTTCACCTAGTCGGCTCGGGGATTAGAACCAGCGACCTTTCGGTTACTGGCACAACGCTCTTAACCACTAAGCTACCTGCAGCCCAAGATGGGCTTGGCCACCCCACCATCATACTTCAGTCTTTAGCGAACCGCAATATATGTTGGCCTTAGGCACTTATAAAGTCACAGATATAGGAGCAGTTGACCTCAACATGATGTTAACATTAGTCACAAATATCTAACTTCAGTATGAAAATGTATGCACTCACTAACTGCAAGTCGCTCTGGATAAGAGCGTCTGCTAAATGACTAAAACGTAAGTATAGTCTATAGCGGTGTCTTCATTAAGACTTATATTTGGCCTATATGTTTGACTTGGTGGAGTGGAGCAGAGAGGGGGATGGGAGCAGAGAAGAGGATGGGAGGCTGATCATTGATTGGCTGTAGTGTAGGGCGTGTCATACAATGTATAAAAATTCCAACTGCCAGCTCAAATTCTCACTCAAATGTACCACTAATATGAAAACATTCCACAGACTGTCTTTTAGACTACTATGCACTGACAAAACATTTAGTGTTACAAATCAAAGCTTAACATTAAAATATGTCACTTCAAATGACTAAATTAAATTCAGACAGGCCTGTTATGTGCTCTCTAACACAAACACAAAATGTGGTGTTGTTGCTGTAGACCTTTTCACAGATCTAGGATCAGGTGACCTCCACAGAATGTTAACATTAGCCATAAACATCTGACTTCTGCAGAGTGCACAAAAGTACCAAACTAACTTATGATGTGGTCCTCTGTAGCTCAATTGGTAGAGCATGGTGCTTGTAACGCCAGGGTAGTGGGTTCGATCCCCGGGACCACCCATACGTAAAAGCGTCTGCTAAATGGCATATTATATTATTATATCTTGAGCCATGTTACTCACAAGTTTCCAGACCTTCTCGCTGACTCCTTTAGCAACCGGTTGAGCACTAGCACAGAGTGCCAGTATTCTGGTTTTGCCAGGCATCTCCTTACGAACATGTTGTGCTAGTGTGCACCTTGCCACGTGCCTCCACATAGATTTGCTCTTGTTTGCTTACATTGTACCAAAACCCCCTTTCCTTCTTGAAGTGCCTGAATGTTGTGTTCCCGATTCCCCTTCTTGCGAAGGAGATTCAGCTGAAGTCTCCTCGCTTTTGACTTCTTTGCAAACTGAAGTGCATTAGCTACTTCCATTTCATCCCCATGTTTACGTTCTAAATGACGGGCGATTTTTTATTTGTTTTAGTTATTATTATTTTAAATTTTGTTATGGATTGCGGTTGCTCGCAAATCAGACAGAAGTGCTTTTTTTGGTGGTACTTTTTGGATCCATCTACTTCTGAGACATTCATTACAAGCAAAGTATTCATCCCCCTTGGCGTTTTTCCTATTTTGTTGCATTACAACCTGTAACTTAAATTTGACGCAATCCAAGAGTGAGCAGCGCCGGAGATGCCCAACTCGGAGAGGGTGGAGAGGAGGATCTGATGGTTCACAGTATCAAAGGCAGCAGACAGGTCTAGAAGGACAAGAGCAGAGGAGAGAGAGTTAGCTTTAGCAGTGCGGAGAACCTCCGTGACACAGAGAAGAGCAGTCTCAGTTGAATGACCAGTCTTGAAACCTTACTGGTTTGCATCAAGACGGTAATTCTGAGAGAGATAGCAAGAGAGTTGGCTAAAGACGGCACGCTCAAGAGTTTTGGAGAGAAAAGAAAGAAGGGATACTGGTCTGTAGTTGTTGACATCGGAGGGATCGAGTGTAGGTTTTTTGAGAAGGGGTGCAACTCTCGCTCTCTTGAAGACGGAAGGGACATAGCCAGCGGTCAAGGATGAGGTGATGAGCGAGGTGAGGTAAGGGAGAAGGTTTCCGGATATGGTCTGGAGAAGAGAGGAGGGGATAGGGTCAAGCGGGCAGGTTGTTGGGCAGCCGGCCGTCACAAGTCGCAAGATTTCATCTGGAGAGATAGGGGAGAAAGAAGTCAAAGCATAGGTTAGGGCAGTGTGAGCAGGACCAGCGGTGTCATTTGACTTAACAAACAAGGATCGGATGTCGTCGACCTTCTTTTCAAAATGGTTGACGAAGTCATCCACAGAGAGGGAGGAGGATTCAGCAGGGAGGAGAAGGTGGCAAAGAGCTTCCTAGGGTTAGAGGCAGAGGCTTGAAATTTAGAGTGGTAGAAAGTGGCTTTAGCAGCAGAAACAGAGGAAGAGAATGTAGAGAGGAGGGAGTGGAAAGATGCCAGGTCCGCAGGGAGTCTAGTTTTCCTCCATTTCCGCTCGGCTGCCCGGAGCCCTCTTCTGTGAGCTCGCAATGAGTCGTCAAGCCATGGAGCAGGAGGGGAGGACCAAGCCGGCCGGGAGGATAGGGGACATAGAGAGTCAAAAGATGCAGAAAGGGAGGAGAGTAGGGTTGAGGAGGCAGAATCAGGAGATTGGAGGGAGAAGGCTTGAGCAGAGGGAAGAGATGATTGGATGGAAGAGGAGAGAGTAGCGGGAGAGAGAGAGCGAAGGTTGCGACGGCACATTACCATCTGAGTAGGGGCAGAGTGAGTAGTGTTGGAGGAGAGCGAGAGAGAAAAGGATACAAAGTAGTGGTCGGAGACTTGGAAGGGAGTTGCAGTGAGATTAGTAGAAGAACAGCATCTAGTAAAGATGAGGTCAAGCGTATTGCCTGCCTTGTGAGTAGGGGGGACGGTGAGAGGGTGAGGTTAAAAGAGGAAAGGAGTGGAAAGAAGGAGGCAGAGAGAAATGAGTCAAAGGCAGACGTAGGGAGGTTAAAGTCACCCAGAACTGTGAGGGGTGAGCCATCCTCAGGAAAGGAACTTATCAAGGAATTCAAATGAGGAGATCGACAGATGGGTCAGGGGGAAAAGAGAGAATGTCCACTTGGGAGAGATGAGGATTCCTGTGCCACCGCCGCGCTGACCAGATGCTCTCGGGGGTATGCGAGAACACATGGTCAGATGATGAAAGAGCAGTAGGAGTAGCAGTGTTTTCAGTGGTAATCCATGTTTCCGTCAGCGCCAAGAAGTCGAGGGACTGGAGGGTAGCATAGGCTGAGATTAACTCTGCCTTGTTGGCCGCAGAACGGCAGTTCCAGAGGCTGCCGGAGACCTGGAACTCCACGTGGGTCGTGCGCGCAGGGACCACCAGATTAGAGTGGCAACAGCCACACGGTGTGAAGCGTTTGTATGGCCTGTGCAGAGAGGAGAGAACAGGGATAGACAGACACATAGTTGACAGGCTACAGAAAAAGGCTACAATAATGCAGAGGAGATCGGAATGAAATGAACTAAACATCTGGGAAAGCGAGAGAGCGGGGCCTCTCTCACTTACGTTTCACTGAAATTGTATGTGAATTTTATCCGCTAGTAACAGTTTTCTTTTCTTATCTACCAAGGTGCATGGTGTACCTCGGCAGACCCTGGCGGACAGGCTGAGCGGCCGGGTGAACCATGGTTGTTACAGTGGACCACCCACATTGCTTGAAAATTCTCTGGTGCAGTACTGTATCTACTGGGCCAGCCATGGGTTCCCCTTTACCAGACAGAGGCTGATGAAATACGCCAACAAAATACGCAGGTATTTGGTGTTCTATGTATGTAGATTGCTGGACTGACTGTTCTCAATGTGTGTGACGTAAATGTGGATGTGTATGGTGATGCCAAAACAAACATTTTCATCCTGGATGGACAATTATATATTCTATTCTAGGTTTCGGCACCCAGGGGAAACAATCCCAGGTGGTGGGAAATGTTCAGGAGGAGGCACAAGACCTGAGCGTGAGGAGGCCGGACACCCTGGACAGGAGGAGAGCTGAGTGTGCCACACGTCCGATGATGGACACCGTCTTCACTTCTTATGAGAAGCACTTGGAGGAGAGTGGGTTGAGGGAGAAAGCCAGACAAATCTATAACTGCGATGAGTCTGGGGGCCAAGGAGCACATCACACTGCTGGCCTGCTTCAACGCAGCTGGGGAGGATGTCCCCGTCCCCCCCCATGTCCCCGTCCCCCCGTCCCCCATTTATCATCTACCCCAAGTGTTTCCCCGGTGGCCACTACACACTGGGAGGCCCCTCCCCCCAAGCCTTGTATGGACGGTCAAACCGTGGCTACATTGACGGGGACCTGTTCAGGAAGTGGTTTCAGCACGTCATTAAGCATGCAGTGAAGGAGCGCTCTCTCGTTCTCCTCTTCGATGGGCACAAGAGCCACATGGACCCGGAAGTGCTCGCGGTGGCACTAAGGGAAGGGGTTATACTTCCTTGTCTTCCACCACACTGCACCCATGTCCTGCATCCGCTGGACGTGGCATTACTTTAAAGAATTTGCCAGAGTATTCCGCTACCCGTACCAGCGCTGCAAGGACATGTTATGGGCGCTATGTGGTGGAAGGGTTTAAGAAGTGTGGCCTCTTCCCTTTTGACCCTTCAGCCATTGAAGGGTCCCGTTTAATGCCGTCTCGGTCCCCTCTCCTGGAACCAGCAGCACTGTGCCGTCCATCAGCACCTCCTCCCCAGTGACCACAGGAGGACCCTCAGCCCCTGCTCCAGTCCTATCCCTAGCTCTAGAAGAGCACCCCCTAATAGAGGGGGGGGCTGATAGCGAAGGACCTGGGGCACATCCTTACTGTCCTGAAGTATCGGCTGGACCGATACAGAAGACTCCCTGTGGTCGCCACATGCCTCACCGGGGAGGAATACACGCACCAGTGGCAGGAGAGGGGTGAGAAGGAGTGGGCCGAGGCAGAGGAGAAAGAGCGTCGGGCAGCCCTCAGAACACAGAGGGCACAGGAGAGGGCTGCCATGGATGAGACCATTGACGTCATCGCCTCTTGCTGGAACCACTCCTCACAGCTGCATCAGCACTGCCTCCCAGTGTGCAACACCTGTAGGAGCCGCCGGAGTCCCCAGCTGCAGAAGAAGGCTACGTGCCTACTCTCCCGGCCACACCATCGTCGGCCCCTCAACCCCACCATTACAAACACCAGCTCCTCCAAGCCATCGTCAGCGGTTTTGTCCACCGCCACCACGATGCACGCCACCCCCCCCCCCCCCCCCCCCCGTCTGTCACCACCAACACGGCCTCCTCTGGACCAACTGCCTCCTCCGTCTCCCCTGGTCACACCACCATAGCAACCTCATCTGGTGTCCCTGCCCCCTGCAATTTGAATACAGCCACCTCCACAGGTAAACACATGTTAAATAACGAACAAATGACTTATCTGTTTTATAAAACAGCAATGTAAAAAAATAAAATAACTCTTTACATATCTACAGTCCATAGAACCAGCCCTCAAGTCATCTCCACCTCCTCCAAAACCTCTGCAGCTTCCTCCAGAGGTATTGATGTAAAAAAGTTGAAAAAGGGTTTTGATGAAACATGCTCAGTCTAACACTACTTTTTCTCAAACTGCAGCACAGAAAAGGAAGAGAAAAGCTCCACCGGTCACATCTGTCACGCCACCCATGGCACCACTCTCCGGTACTTCATAATCTGTTTCTCTCTCTCTCTCAGTTGTATCAATTACTATTGTTGTTGAAGAACTTCTACATTTTGCAAAACCATATTAATCCATTTTTATTATTATTTTATTTTTTATAAAAAGAAGACACCACCTGCTGTGCTCGCTGCAGGGAGCGTGATCCGCCTGCAAGCTCCTCTCAGGAGTGTAGATCCGAGGTGCCGTGGGTGTGCTGTGACTTCTGTCAGCACTGGTTCCACTGCAGGTGTGTGCAGTGGGATCAAGAGGTAGCGGTGGAGCTGGAATATTATTGGGATTTTTGTGACAATATAAGGATGGAGGTCGAGATTTAATTGTTTGTTTTGTTTGTGTTCATATGAAATTATTTATTTGTACAAAAAAAAAAAAATGCCTAAAATATCAAATATATTTATTGAACCCATCTTGTGTATTTCTTCCTTTACTTTCCAAGTGCATCTCTGCAACACAAACTCCAGTGTTTTCATTGTTTATGCCAATGCACATTTCTGAAATTAAAGTTTTATTTGACGTAAATTATTAATACTCATATTTTATTATTCAACTTATCTACTTTCTCAAAACATAAGATTCATCTGTAAAACAAATGAGACATTATTTGGTTACAACACTGAATATGTGGGTGAAGAACCATTTTTTTAAAGAGTCCACATGAGGGCGCACCGGGCTACGCAATAAAAAGTTGACAGGCAAGTCATTATTTTTTACCGGAAGGCTAGCCAACTATCGAGTAAACACTTCGGGTACGTGGTTGGTGTCTCTTTTTTGAACAAAATTAAACGGATATATCTTGTAATTGAACAAAATAGTAAGGTGGCCAATAACTGGGATATGCCGATAATACGGGACTTATTTTTTTGCTAAACCGCTTATCAAAAAGCTGATAATAGTAGTATTTCCCCTGAAATGTCAAACTTGCTAATTGCTAACCCGTTAGCTAACATTTTTACGACACCAATAATCACATAACATTGATGGCTTGATCACAAGATAACACCGTTGAAGGTAATATATTTTTTAAACGCTGTTGAATATGCCAATAATACGGAGTTCCACGCTAGCAACTGAATGTCACTTGTTTTCTTTGTGATCTTGGGTTTCTTAGCTTGTATTACATTGGAGAAAGAATGGTTCTTAAATGGTTATTCCTTAGTTCTTAAGGTTCCTGAGAGAACTCGGTTCTGCTTTATTTGAAGTTCTTATGAATGTTTCATATATAAAAATGGGTCACAAATCATCTAACTGGGTTTTATTCTCTATAAAATATTGATAAATGGGGGAACAATAAATTGGTTATGTAACAGTTATAACACATTCTGATTAGTTATATTTGTGAAGCATCTATGTAGTGCTAAAATCTATATGCAAAGGACCGAGAAGTCTTCTGACTGGTAGGAGACAGGCAGAAGGAGACAGACTTTGCCATTGGGCCGTTTGCGAAGAAAACAGAGAGCGTTATTGGCTGTTGTCGTGGTAGACACCAGTATGTGTTACCTTGTTGGTTGGCTGTGCAGATGGAGATCCTGCGAGGGTGAGTTGACGTGGCAAATCCCGTGTCGCGGCTCGGGGAGGGACAGATGGGGAGGGGGGTGGAGGGACAGATGGGGAGGGGGGTGGAGCGACAGATGGGGAGGGGGGTGGTGGGAGCTGGTGGTGAGGGTACGAGAGGAAGGGGCCCGCGGCGGCCGCTGGCTTCCTTTGACGGTGGGAGGTTCACTTTTGGAGTGACTAAGGTTCTCCTGAATACTTCAAGGTTTTTTTAAGGTTTGAAGCCTGCTGATGCCTTTGAATGTTACACAAAAATAAAAAACATTTTCCTAAACTATTCATCTGTTACTTGGATATACTGAATCCATTACTGAAATGGTTGTTCCAGTTTAAATACTTTACAGAAAAACTATAGTAGAGCCGTTGCGTTGCCATCTGTGTCGCATCTTTGTGGCGTTCTACCTGCTACACTAGAAACAAACCAAAAGCGACTTTTTTTCATCAATATTTTCAGTCATAAAATAGAATGAACACGTGCATCAAATATTGAGAATTTAAACTTGTTAATTATTGTAACCTTCCAATAGCCGCAACGCAAGCAGTTGGATAACTTTCATAGATTTCATAGGAGGCATTCACTTGATGGCTGATGGCAATACATTGCAATGTACGGTCTCAAGTAGTTGGTAAAATTTCAAGTGTACTTTTTTCAAGGAGTAAGTCACTTTAAGTGATTTCCTCATTATAGATTTTTTTCTCAAACTCATGAGTGTTATTTCTGTGCTCCTATGATGTCTGGAAAGCATGGTCCTCGAAAGGTATGTATTTGTGAGGAGTCCTAAATTGGTCACAAATACAAGACTGTGTGTGTGTGTGTATTTACACCAGTTCCCATCGGTTGGCAGAGAACAGCAGATGCACTGTATGGTCCTCCAGGTTGCTTTTGTTCTCAAGATAGGAGTTTATCAGCTGGCCGATCTTTGTAGTTCTTTCTGTACAAACAATAATAATATGGGAAGAGCATTTAGTCATTTCAATGTAAATGTTATTAGAAATGTTGTGTTGTATCTCAAAAGGCGATTTCGTTTTGCATCGCCAGGTGCTCCGGGTGAACCAGACAAGACAAAACGAATTTGTATAATCTGAGCGATTTGGGTCTAGTTAAATTATGAATCAAAGCCGCTTCAAACCTCCACACAATTATGAGAAAAATACGTTTCATTTTGATAAGTTAGCAGCCACGGATAATTAAGTCAATTTACCCGGAAATCTCATCATCTCAGCTGGCCGTCCACTATCCTGCAGTGTTTGGACTAGCTTGTTACACTGTGTCGTTTTCCCTGCCTTGTCCACTCCTTCGAGCACAATGAGAGCCCCTCTTCTGCATGTCATTGCGAAATAGTTAACGAAGATATCTTTATAGCTAAATACGGTATTATAATTTTTTTACGAAAGTACTTGCTCTGCAGACATGGAAGTACGCGGGCTTTTCTGCATTTCACCCGGAAGCAAACTCTGGTGGCCGCGAAGTGTCAAATTTAATCAACAGCATTTTCGGCTTGTCAGGAAAAAGTATGAAGCTTGCTTGCAAAAAATAAAAAATATATTGATTTTGATTTTAGCGTTGTCAAATTGGCTTATTCTCGTAGTGAGGAGCCTATAAAACGTAGCTAGATTCATAACCATATTTTTGGGGGATTCTAAAATGTATTGGAATAAATGACCAAACTATAAAACTAGCTAGCCAGCTATGGGTAACTGTAGCTAGCTACCTGACAGGAGTGCTAGCTAGATCCGTTAGCTAACTAGGTACATTAATAGCTTTAGGTTGGTTGTTTTTAAGCTCAACTTCCACCAAGGACGTTGCCTCTCCGATCATCACTCGTTACACAGTGTTGCCAACTCCTCAGTAAGGAAAGTAGCCATTGGTTGTCCTAAAAGTCGCGAGAAGTCGCTACATGACGTCATCGCCTAATTTGCATAATTGGCCATGTGCATGTCATTGTGAAGGAAGCTGTAGGAGAGAGGAACAACGTCGTGGGAGAGACAAAAAGTGAGTAGAAGACACCCTAAATATGTTTAGAACTACAAATGAACTTTCTTCTGTCGAATTCTTTTTATTTTTTTACAATTCCAACCCTCCTCCTTTATCAGTGCTTGGGACCAGCAAAAGTGACCCAAAAGAGACACTGGCGGTGTTACTTAGTTTTTATTTTATTTTATTTTTTGTTTAGTTTTCTTAAGTTTGGTTTGGTTTTTAACCTTATGGTCCACTTAGGAGCCTACAACAAGTCACAGTAAAACATGAACATTTTTAACCATATCATTTTAAACATTTTTTTTGTATACAATCTACATTAACAATCTAAATGGACCAAAAAGAGACAATAGAAAAAACTGTCAATGGCAAAGTGAGAAAACGATGGTAACTAGTCTGGCCCTAATTCAGGTTAATTGTTGTTGTTTTTTCAGACCCCCCTCCACAGACACACAGGCTGTGCTGGCTCACAGAAAGAGTGGGTCATTGTCATTTTGGTCAAGGCTCTCTATGGCATGTTCAGCAACTGAGGGAGCTGATTTAAATGAGTAAGCAGCTGATGTGCCAAAAAGCTGCAAAATATTATCAGGCAGCTAGTGCTCATAGCAAGCCTCAACAGACAGCTACAGTCCATATCGAATGTACAGGATGGAGTTAAGGGTCTGCAAGGACATCCGATTTCTAAGTTTGCTTTTTACCACACTCATCTGGCTGAATACTCTCTCGACTTCAGCATTCGAGTGTGGCAAGGACAACACGGACACAGCAGCCATGGCAAGTTCTTGAAACGAGTTGATATCAGCTGCATCCCTGAACTTCCAAATCTCACTCCAGAAGCCCAGTGTGTTTTTTGTCTCATTCCATTTACTAAGATGGATGGCACGCCATTGCTGGACAAATCTTGTCTATCTCTGCAGGGGAGTAGTCAAGGAGCTTGGCTATTTTTTTCTATTTCTCCAGGGCTCTTATTGTGCTTTAGAGTTTCCTCCACATTGAAAACTGACATGTACTGCAATGCTTCGATGTTGTCCGGCAGTCTCACCCTCAACTCATTAGTGAGGGAGATGGTGAAGGTTACACACCGCTTTCGGACATTGTTTTTCATCCTCAGGCTCAAGGTGGAGCTCAGCTGCCTTTGACTCAAAAAGGTAACCAAGGTACGGTTTGGGACTGATGTATCCATCTATTGGCCCTTTGAGTACATCAACATTTGCCAGTGGATTCAGCACCCTGCTGCTCACAGACTTGATCAGGCTAACCAAGTAGCTTAAGAGGATCTACTTGCTCTCCCTCAAAAGCCTTGATGGCCAACTGTACCTCACCCAGCACTGACTTCAAAAAATGTCAGATACAATATGTTTTGAGGATCACTGTACATGGAGTACAAAACCTCAGCCATGTAGCAGTGTTCACTGGACATGGTGACTGCGTAATGCAGCCTAAGCTCCTCCCGCTGGTCCAAAATGTGTGAAACTGCTGGTTCAATGGAGAGCCAACGTGTGGCACACACCTTGGTTATCTGTAAAGGTTTCTCCTCCTGTCTCATATATGGCCTTGTAGGCCTCAATGCGTTTGGAGACACTGAAAACCAGTTATAAGTCTCTAGTACCAAGTACTCCACACTACAGGGGATGGTGTCATTGGAAGCATGACTTACAGCAAGCTGCAGAGAGTGGCACACACAGCGAATAAGAACCAGATCTTTTAGGCCATACTCCTCCTTCAGCACATTTGTGGTAGTCTAACTAACTGGAGCAGCAATCCATTGTGTCCTGGCTAAGACGGCCTCACCTGGCCAACAGTGGGTCCCAGCCCCCTAACTCACCTGGCCAACGGATGGTCCCAGTCCCCTAACTCACCTGGCCAACAGATGGTCCCAGTCCCCTAACTCACCTGGCCAACGGATGGTCCCAGCCCCCTACCTCACCTGGCCAACAGATGGTCCCAGCCCCCTACCTCACCTGGCCAACGGATGGTCCCAGTCCCCTAACTCACCTGGCCAACGGATGGTCCCAGCCCCCTACCTCACCTGGCCAACGGATGGTCCCAGCCCCCTACCTCACCTGGCCAACAGATGGTCCCAGCCCCCTAACTCACCTGGCTAACAGATGGTCCCAGCCCCCTAACTCACCTGGCCAACAGATGGTCCCAGTCCCCTAACTCACCTGGCCAACGGATGGTCCCAGCCCCCTACCTCACCTGGCCAACAGATGGTCCCAGCCCCCTACCTCACCTGGCCAACGGATGGTCCCAGCCCCTTAACTCACCTGGCCAACGGATGGTCCCAGCCCCTTAACTCACCTGGCCAACAGATGGTCCCAGCCCCCTACCTCACCTGGCCAACGGATGGGCCCAGCCCCTTAACTCACCTGGCCAACGGATGGTCCCAGCCCCCTAACTCACCTGGCCAACAGATGGTCCCAGCCCCCTACCTCACCTGGCCAACGGATGGTCCCAGTCCCCTAACTCACCTGTCCAACAGATGGTTCCAGCCCCCTACCTCACCTGTCCAACGGATGGTCCCAGCCCCCTACCTCACCTGGCCAACGGATGGTCCCAGCCCCCTACCTCACCTGTCCAACAGATGGTTCCAGCCCCCTACCTCACCTGGCCAACGGATGGTCCCAGCCCCCTACCTCACCTGGCCAACGGATGGTCCCAGCCCCCTACCTCACCTGGCCAACGGATGGTCCCAGCCCCCTACCTCACCTGGCCAACGGATGGTCCCAGCCCCCTACCTCACCTGGCCAACGGATGGTCCCAGCCCCCTACCTCACCTGGCCAACGGATGGTCCCAGCCCCCTACCTCACCTGGCCAACGGATGGTCCCAGCCCCCTAACTCACCTGGCCAACAGATGGTCCCAGCCCCCTACCCTACCTGGCCAACGGATGGTCCCAGCCCTCCAGAGATGTCTAGGCTGTGGTTCTTCATGATGTAGCTGGTGATCTCCTTCCAGTCATATCCAAGAGGAGGTACTATAGAAGTCACTCTGGGCAACCTGGCGTTCTGCCATGGATCATCAAGACTCATGTTTACTGTATCTGATTGTTATGTTGTTAATGCACAGAAAATTGCTAGACTGTACACAGAGTTATATGGTTCTACTGTACACTGAGTATACAAACACTAGGAACATCTTCCTAATATTGAGTTGCACCCCCAATTTGTTGGGGCATGGACTCTACAAGGTGTCGAAAGCGTTCCATAGGGCTGCTGGCCTATGTTGACTCCAATGTTTCCCACAGTTGTGTCAAGTTGGCTGGATGTCCTCTGAGTGGTGGACCATTCTTGATACACAAGGGAAACTGTTGAGCATGAAAAACCCAGCAGCGTTGCAGTTCTTGACACAAACCGGTGCGCCTGGCACCTACTACCATACCCCGTTCAAAGGTACTTAAATATTTTGTCTTGCCCATTCACCCTCTGAGTCGCACACATACACAATCCATGTCTCAATTGCCTCAAGGCTTAAAAATCCTTCTTTAACCTGTTTCCTCCCCTTCATCTACACTGATTGAAGTGGATTTATCAAGTGACATCAATAAGGGATCATAGCTTTCACCTGGATTCACCTGGCCAGTCTATGTCATGTAAACTCAGTGTAGAGTGGCCATGGAAACTCAGTGTACAGTGGCTTGCGAAAGTATTCACCCCCCTTGACATTCTTCCTATTTTGTTGCCTTACAACCTGGAATTAAAATTGATTTTTTGGGGGTTTGTATCATTTGATTTACACAACATGCCTACCACTTTGAAGATGCAAAATATTTTTTATTGTGAAACAAACAAGAAATAAGACCAAAAAACTGAAAACGTGAGCATGCATAAGTATTCACCCCCCCCCCAAAAAAAAAAAGTCTAAACTTTGTAGAGACACCTTTTGCAGCAATTACAGCTGCAAGTCTCATGGGGTATGTCTCTATAAGCTGGGCACATCTAGCCACTGGGATTTTTGCCCATTCTTCAAGCCAAAACTGCTCCAGCTCCTTCAAGTTGGATGGGTTCCCCTGGTGTACAGCAATCTTTAAGTCATACCACAGATTCTCAATTGGATTGAGGTCTGGGCTTTGACTAGGCCATTCCAAGACATTTAAATGTTTCCGCTTAAACCACTCGAGTGTTGCTTTAGTAGTATGCTTAGGGTCATTGTCCTGCTGGAAGGTGAACCTCCGTCCCAGTCTCAAATCTCTGGAAGACTGAAACAGATTTCCCTCAAGAATTTTCCTTTATTTAGCGCCATCTATCATTCATTCAATTCTGACCAGTTTCCCAGTCCCTGCCGATGGAAAACATCCCTATAGCATGATGCTGCCACCACCATGCTTCACTGTGGGGATGGTGTTCTCGGGGTGATGAGAGGTGTTGGGTTTGCGCCAGACATAGCGTTTTCCTTGATGGCCAAAAAGCTCAATTTTAGTCTCATCTGACCAGAGTACGTTCTTCCATATGTTTGGGGAGTGTCCCACATGGCTTTTGGCGAACACCAAACGTGTTTACTTATTTTTTTCTTTAAGCAATGGCTTTTTTCTGGCCACTCTTCCGTAAAGCCCAGCTCTGTGGAGTGTACGGCTTAAAGTGGTCCTATGGACAGATACACCAATCTCTGCTGTGGCGCTTTGCAGCTCCTTCAGGGTTATCTTTGGTCTCTTTGTTGCCTCTCTGATTAATGCCCTCCTTGCCTGGTCCGTGAGTTTTGGTGGGCGGTCCTCTCTTGGCAGATTTGTTGTGGTGCCATATTCTTTCAATTTTTTTATAATGGATTTAATGGTGCTCCGTGGGATGTTCAAAGTTTCTGATATTTTTTTATAACCCAACCCTGATCTGTACTTCTCCACAACTTTGTCCCTGACCTGTTTGGAGAGCTCCTTGGTCTTCATGGTGCCGCTTGCTTGGTGGTGCCCCTTGCTTAGTGGTGTTGCAGACTCTGGGGCCTTTCAGAACAGGTGTGTATATATACTGAGATCATGTGACAGATCATGTGACACGTAGATTGCACACAGGTGGACTTTATTTAACTAATTATGTGACTTCTGAAGGTAATTGGTTGCACCAGATCTTATTTAGGGGCTTCATAGCAAAGGGGGTGAATACATATGCACACACCACAGGCACAGTGTGGAGGTATCTGCACACAGGAACAACAGGTCAAACGTTTCTGCATTATGATGCATTTAAACACGACACTACACAATTCTATAGCAGACATGTTAGCATTAAACAATGCTATGTAACTGAATGTCTAGAAAATTAAACAACATTCTAAAACCACTGAAGAGACTTTCTGCTTAACTTGACATTCACAGATGGATATAATCTCAAACTGTTAAAATGTGTTTTTAAAGGTAGATAATGTCTGATATGTTATCATTGAATGTGGTGTTAGATGACGTGTTTGATGAAAGGTTGTGATGTAACACGTTATGGGAGTCTCACATCCCAGCGGGCTTGTCCTCACACCCCCAGTAGTTTGGCAGCCAGGTCATGTCCAGAAAGAAATACTGTTGAGCTGAATCTCAGGAGTGAGTCAAAGAACTACACTTCCCAGAGTGCACCCGCAGCTTTTGGATGGTGAACAAGAGGAGGACTTGACATCCCAGTAGTTTGGCAGCCAGGTCATGTCCAGAAAGAAATACGCTTTGTTTTCCGGTTGAAAACTTTCTGGCTGGATAGGAAGTAGAAAACGACACGTGCTCTTAGAAGCAAGCCATTCATAAGGTATTATTACTGTGTAATTACCATTCGTAAGGTATTGTTACTGTGTAATTACCATTCATAAGGGATTGTTACTGTGTAATTACCATTCGTAAGGTATTATTACTGTGTAATTACCATTTTAACATGTAATTGCTTAGTAAATACCTGGTAATGTTTGTACTGTGTAATACATTTAAACCAATATGTCTTCCTTTTACGATTCACTTCTGAAGTTACAGAGTAGAAAAACTCGCTTACCATGCTCTTTCACTGAAGGAGATGGAGGTGGTCCCAGGTGGGGCATTCAGGACCTTCTGTGAGCCAGTGTACAGGATGTCGATACCTGAAGAAAACACAAGGAACCAACACTTGTTAAGTTTCAACCTTAAAATCTGTAAGCTCTTATGGTAGTAAAATGAATTAAACTAGTAGTAATGATATTTTCACATAGTGTGTAGCGAAGTTATATGCAGGGTCACGGTGCATCTCAATCTTCCAAAGTACTAGCTTCCTATTAAGCATCAACATAGTAATCACATGAATACAGAGGCAAACCTTCCCCCAGGGCCTTCAACTAGGTGGTGTAAACCTGTCTGTGTATCCCGGAGCAACGGGTGGCTCTGTAACACTGATGTCATCTTTGCTCATCCATCTGTTATCTGTTATACCTACAGGTCCCTGTACTATCTGTTATACCTACAGGTCCCTGTACTATCTGTTATACCTACAGGTCCCTGTACTATCTGTTATACCTACAGGTCCCTGTACTATCTGTTATACCTACAGGTCCCTGTACTATCTGTTATACCTACAGGGTCCCTGTACTATCTGTTATACCTACAGGTCCCTGTACTATCTGTTATACCTACAGGGTCCCTGTACTATCTGTTATACCTACAGGTCCCTGTACTATCTGTTATACCTACAGGTCCCTGTACTATCTGTTATACCTACAGGTCCCTGTACTATCTGTTATACCTACAGGGTCCCTGTACTATCTGTTATACCTACAGGGTCCCTGTACTATCTGTTATACCTACAGGGTCCCTGTACTATCTGTTATACCTACAGGTCCCTGTACTATCTGTTATACCTACAGGGTCCCTGTACTATCTGTTATACCTACAGGGTCCCTGTACTATCTGTTATACCTGCAGGTCCCTGTACTATCTGTTATACCTACAGGGTCCCTGTACTATATCCAACAGGGTCACTACAACATCATACCTCGTTTGTCCATGTAAAGTGGTGCACCTCCCATTGAAGCCACACAGTCAACGAGAAACAGACAGTTGTGCCTTGCAGAAAGTAAAGAGAGGTGTTACTTTCTGCAATATGCCCGATGCTGTAACTTTATGCTGTGTGTTGTCTGTTGGGTTTTTATAACCATTTACATTGAAATGGTAGCTGAAGAGGTGGATAGGGGCTCTTACTCGTGACATATGTCTCCACTGCCATCTAGTGGATGAACTACTCCTGTGGAGGATTTTCCATGGGTTGGGAAGAACCGTACAGGCTTGTGTTTGGCCAGGGCCTGGGGGGCAAAACGGTGACATGACAGATCAGAAATACCAGTCTTGATGCACAGAAAGAGATGGGCCCTGGTCGGAAGTAGTGCACTACATAGGGAACAGGGTGCCATTTTGGGACGCACACATGGTCTGTCGGATAGCAGCAATTTGGTATCTCTACCAAATGACATTTGTGTCATTACCCGATTTGATTTCTTCATTGGTGAAGTAACCCCCCCCCCCCCCCCCCCGCAGATGTCACAAGTGTATTAACTCTGGCCCCTGTTGTGTTGAAAACAAATAGATGTTACGAGTATGTAAATCAGAAACTGGTCAAAGTGAACATCCCCAGCAGATAAATGTGGTTGTAATGACGTAATCAGAACGTCATTTCAACCAGTTTTGTCATTTCGACCAGTTTTTTTGTCCATTGGGTCATATTTGTGTCAGTCCACTGTCCCCTGTCCACTGGGTCCTGGTTATAAGTAGTGCACTAAATACAGAATAATAGGGGTGACATTTGGGACACAACCCGTGCTAATCAAGTACCCCATCCTCTCTGCCATCTCCGCTGCCCGTTCTCCCCAGATCCCATTGACTGCAGTGAGAACCCCCTCCCCCTGGCTCGACGGCGTTGAAGAATGGCACACTCCATGTTGTTCTGGGTCTGGAAGGCGTACTGGATCCCGCTCTTGATGTCACTCATTATCTAGAAACGAATACAGTACATCGACAGTGACATTATTAGGACAAAAGATTATGTGGTAATCAGTGATGATTAGGACAAAAGATTATGTGGTAATCAGTGATGATTAGGACCAAGATTATGTGGTAATCAGTGATGATTAGGACCAAGATTATGTGGTAATCAGTGATGATTAGGACCAAGATTATGTGGTAATCAGTGATGATTAGGACAAAAGATTATGTGGTAATCAGTGATGATTAGGACCAAGATTATGTGGTAATCAGTGATGATTAGGACCAAGATTATGTGGTAATTAGTGATTATTAGGACCAAGATTATGTGGTAATCAGTGAATATTAGGACCAAGATTATGTGGTAATTAGTGAATATTAGGACCAAGATTATGTGGTAATTAGTGATTATTAGGACCAAGATTATGTGGTAATCAGTGATGATTAGGACCAAGATTATGTGGTAATTAGTGATGATTAGGACCAAGATTATGTGGTAATTAGTGATGATTAGGACCAAGATTATGTGGTAATTAGTGATTATTAGGACCAAGATTATGTGGTAATCAGTGAATATTAGGACCAAGATTATGTGGTAATCAGTGATTATTAGGACCAAGATTATGTGGTAATTAGTGATTATTAGGACCAAGATTATGTGGTAATCAGTGATGATTAGGACCAAGATTATGTGGTAATCAGTGATGATTAGGACCAAGATTATGTGGTAATTAGTGATTATTAGGACCAAGATTATGTGGTAATCAGTGATTATTAGGACCAAGATTATGTGGTAATCAGTGATTATTAGGACCAAGATTATCATGCAATGATTAGGTCCATTTGCTTCAACACTGTAATGTACAACTGGTAGTAACAACCTATACTAACACTGACAGATATATTGGCTAATCTTGAAATGTTCATGCAACACTTTTGTTTGGCCAGTTGGAGATCACGACCCTATATGTGACCAAGCAATAAGAAATACTTAAGCAACTTAAAAATAGCCAACAGATTGGTTTACGAAGTTTCTAAAATATCAAATCATATGTGTTAAATTCCAGCATGAGACATGCGCGTAAATCGTGCGTAAAAAGTTTGCATTGCGCGCGGCTATCTCCAATTGAGATTCGGCTGTGGGTCGTCATCCATAATCAAAGTTTAAGCAAGTTCTTTAAGCCTACCTTGAACATTTCTGGATGCATGTGACCGATGATTTGGCTCGGCCCCCCGGCCCGCTAAGATCCGAGGAGGAACATTGGACGGATCCTGGTCCAAACACGTGTCGCTGCGAAGCCACGAACGGTTTCAGGAGACATTTTGGTTGGCGGGGACGGAGACGGACGACATGACTCTAGCAGGATGGTCGGCGGGACGGAGATGAGGAAAGGTACTGAACTCCGACTCAGTAACCTGCCTGACTGACTCTCATCTGACCAACGAGGCCTTTAAACACCGCTGGCCTCGCCTCTGTGTTTTGTTTGCATAGACAAAT